ACGAAGCGTCACGGTTAAACAATTTAACGAATCTCAAACACGATCGTATGATATTATTTTAATCGTCTTTGGCTGCAGCGAAATGATGCAGGCGCCCTCGCCTATCCGATGAAATATTATAATTACGTTCGAATGTTTGTTTTGCGCGGTGGCGCTGCAATAATCGTACACGGTTTTTAAATGTTGGAAACGATTTATTAATCGAGTCGTGCACACACATTATTATTATATAATGCGTGTATACACAGTGCGTATATATAAAAATATAAAATAGAGGCCACGGTGTGTCATGTAATAAATAGGGAACTCGCCAGTCTCATATTATTATCAGAATAAAAATATATACAAATTACATTATAGTATATACATATTATTACTACAAATAATAGGAAGGCACACTCGCGTACTCGTCGGTCTGCTGTCTCCCGTTATTTATACCGCGAACTAAGTTTGCGGCCGGATTATAGAGAGACTTCGACAATTTATTCGTCTGCACGCCGGGCGTTCTTGTGTAAGAAAAACAAAACCGAAAACCGTATAGCCGTATACATTAATTATATCCCAGAGCTAGCAGGATCACTAGCATCCTAGTGTGATGGCTTAATACGCGAGTGTGGGCTTGATCTCGCGACTTGACAGCTAAGACGTAAAACAATAATAATAGTATATTAGTATGTGCTCGGTGATATAATATACCTACCTATATATATAACGGAGATAATATTATGTGTTTTACAGATCGCATGGCTTAATATTATTATTATTATTATTATTATTTTGCGACACTGGGTCGAACTCCGTTTCTGGCGCAGAGGACAGATCAATGCGTGATTAAACCAAACCTAGAAGAGGCACCAAAATTATCCGACGTCGTTTAAAAAAAATATATATGTATATTAACTTGTATTTTCTTCAGTCAAAACATGGTCTACAGAAATTAAAAGGTAAGATGATGATGATAAAGGTGGTAACTGGTAACTATAAGAAAAAAAGCAAAAAAAAAGATAGAAAGCTTGACACTAATGGAACCCTAATCTATATTACATAATCCATACTTTTAGGCTTAAATGCATATGCTAAAGTAAATTTTAACTTTTGACAGCTTAAGCTATACAGGGACGTTTAAAGAAAATATTTTATTCATAATTGAAGCTACCTAATTGGTAAATAATTTTTTTATAAAACATAAATATTCCTCGTGTAAAAAGTTTAATGCTAGTAGAATATTACATACCTACGTGTGACGTCTATGTTTTATAATTTGTTGTCATCGTTGTTGAATAGGGTTCTTAAAAAATCAGATAATATGTTTACTGTTTAGTACTAAAAACTAAATATTAATTTAATTTCTATATTAATGACACTATGTTGTACTTTAACCACTGCGGGGCTGTAGGCGTTAAAAAAAATTGAAGCAGGTGCAGGTACAATATATACAAATTTCCTAGACGGAAGGTCAGGACACAGATTGATTTTTAAGGGACTACGCAATAAGGGACACACCACAAACACATTCATAAACATATCACGTTATAGTCCATAGGTAACTAACCATATAATATTATTGTTATTGTTATTTTATATATTTAAGGCTGCGGCGTCGTTTGATGTATTAAAAATATGATTGATATACAGGCACACTAATATCGCATAATATACGACATCCTCTATAAGTATACACACACATAAAGCTATAATATATATATATATATATATATAATAGATGTACCGTTTTTACTCTTGGTGGTGTTATATAGTGCGAAAAACTCGCTGACAGCCTTCCGCGATCGTTTCTTTTTGATCCGAACAGTCGGCGGCGCGGCAGTATATAGCGTGGCGGTGACAGCGGCGGCGGCGTTTTAAATTTATACCGACGGGACACATCTGGCTGCAGTAGCAGTGGACCATCGGAAACACGACGACGGATTTATTTCCATTCGGGTTTGATGATGATGATAATAATAATAATATAATATTCGACCGGACGTATGTGCACGAACGGCGCGCGACCCGAAATAGCAGCGACGAACATGTAGAACCCCCTTAATTATATTGCCGCGTACATGTTATTATAATATGCTATGTAGGTACATGCTAAAAATCACATTATTATAACTATTAAATTATTGATATTCGACGAAGAGGTGTGAACACGTTCGGTGAAACGTATTAGACGATTATGGCGATTTACGATGATATGTATGTCATGTTGTGAGACCTTCCGCACTATAGTAGGTATACACCCTCTCACATGACGAGTGCCGAGGTCTGGGCACTCCTAGGTTATATAGGTTAAGTTACTGGTTAGGAATCGAAGGGGAAATCGGCTGAGATGAGATATAATATATTATGATATAGGAAATCTCTCAAATACTAAAACCACAAAATTGTACATAATGCAATATGATTTATTATATTATTTATGATATAATATTATAATCAAATGTGAAATCGCATAATTTCATATTATTACTAATATTTACATATTATTTTGATTGAAATCGATGTACTCAATAGTCGACGAGTTATATAAAATACAATAAAATATTATATATTATAATGTATAGGTATTTGGGCTTACAACATGATTTACTCAAACGCGAGTTACAACAGGTGTATATACCGATAATGTGGGGATGTTATATTTATATATATTATATATTATTATACATGTATGTATACGTACTAACTATCGGCATTGCCACGAACGAATTTTACAAATAAAAACAACTTGTCGTTTTTACCTTTTTGTTTAATATAATAATTGAAAAAAAATTAGACTTGATGCAAAATTGTTCATTTTTAAATTATAAATAGTATAGGTACCTATATAAATGCATAGGTATATTTATGCCCCCCCCCCCCCGTATTATCTATTACATGATCTTGTATGTTCTATGCGCCTGATAATTGATTTTTTTCTTTATAATTCTTATAATTTATTGTAAAGCAACTAAAAACTTTATATGATAAATAATACGTGATAAAGTTTCATTAAGTACCTATATAAGTATGAACATTTTTAATAAATTGTTATTCATTTTATAGAGGTTTACGCATACGAAATTCATTTTATTTTTGGTCTGTTTTGGTTTTATGCAGTTTCGCTTAGGTTTTAAAATAAAATACGATGTATATATCGTTTGTTTTAATTGATGTAAAACGCGTTCGAGGTGTATACTAACAGAGAGTTACGACACAAACGCATCAATAATTGTATAAACTATTTACATAATATGTACATGGGTACTTACACATTTTACAATAGAAGAATAATGATTAAATCAATTATAAATAAAATATAGGTACAGTTGTTTGTATAGGTATATACAATATCGAGTTAAATAAAGACATGGAGTTTTATTTAAATACTGCACCTATTAAACAATAATTATTATAATACTAAACTAGGTACATTACATCAATACGTGTTTGGGCAGTAAAAGAATAAGAGTCAAGCGAGATCATATCAGACTCGTATACAGCAGTTAATGGATAATAGGCAATATTAAAATAATAATGATAAAACATCGTAACCGTTACAACATATAGATAACGATTACAATGTCGATGCTAAAAGCGTATTTGGGAACTAATTTACGTAAATTATGGATATTATTATTGACTGGGAGGGTATAAACAATAATATTTAAATATTCCACAAAAATATGTGACTGTAAAACGTCTACACAGCGTCAACGACAAATCATCACAAATTGATGGAAGCATATTTCACTTCGTCTTATCACCTCACACGTTCAACGAGAGTATGAAATATTTTTTGCAGAAATTGTTTGTTTTCTTACCTTATATTATTATAGAAATTCGTCGGAAAATAAATAAAATAAAATTAGACAACTAACGGACGTCTCTTTCGTCGACTTTTCTATACCTATACATATACTATAATAACGTGCTAGTGATAACTCGTACGAGAACTAACAATGAAGATACAATTGTAAGTATATTATATAATCATGATAATGGAGTTATGGCTTTATGAGGTAACAACATATTATTATTACTATTTCACCCTGCGGTACATGTCACGTGAATGTGCTGCGTAAACAACAATATACGATTTTATGATAATTGCATGTGTTTAATAGAGTGATCCCATAAAATATTTCAAATTGTCTATTGTAAGTACGATACGTATAATAATAATAATATACCTATAATATATGTCGCGCTTATCAGAATAATATTATAATACGAGTATTATAACGTACAGCGAATATATAACGAAAAGATAAACGTATCAGTATGTACTCATATACAGTGCTCAAAAGTGTTATTTAAGGAGGACGTCAAATCATATTTATAAAACGAATTAACTAAAAAATATAGATAGGTAATATGTATGGAACGTTGGCTTTTATATACTTCAATTGAAGCATCACTTGTATAAAAAGGTTTTTTTTATTTGTTAATATTGTGTCCCTTATTAATTCATTTTTTCAATTCAAGTAGCTTATAGGTACCTATACTATGTGTATATAGGTACATGGCGTCCATTGAGTTTTCTCTTATTCAATTAACACGGGAAAGTGCGAAATCACAGTGGGCCACTCTGTATGTATTATAATAATTATAATTCATATATGAACTAGTAAATACATTTAATATTATTAGACACATATATAATTATATATGTCGTTATACTGTTTGAACGTGTATAGGCAATTGTCGAATCTTCGCTGGGCGTTAAGAGTATAATACACGAATTTTGAAAAAAAATTGACAAATAATAATAATAATAATTTATATAATATGTATAAAACACACACTGACAGCGCACACACACACACAACACACTCACACACACACACACACACACACACACACACACAGAAATGGGCGACGGACTGTGAGCCACCGCGATAGATACACGCACGTCCGTCCGTCCGTCCGTCCGTCACCTGATAAGCCTAGTCGGCGGACGCGTTTTCCGAAGAGTGACAGCCGGCAGCATGTGGTTCGTGTCTCGATTTGGTGAATTTTTTTTTCCTCTCTCTCTCGTCTTCCTGCGGCACAATCGTCTCGGTCGCGGCGCGCGACGCGTCTTTCTGGCTTCTCACGCGGACGAGTACAATTTGTTCGTCTGACAGCAATAGCAGCAGCCCGCCCTTCCCCGTCGTCGTCTTCGTCGTCGTCGTCGTCCTATACAGTGCAATACAAGATATATATATATATATACAAACCGTGAAGAGAATATAAAAAACAACACATATGTCAACACTCTATTGGGGACTAATATATAATAATACGTCGCCGACTACTTATTCCCGTGTTTAATAATAATAATAATAAAAATAATATTGTAATATTTTCCGCGCGCGACTCGTGACAAGGTGGTTAATGGTTATTAACAGTATATACCGATGCTGCTTACATATTATGACGAGGGTTCGAGTGCGGTTTTGTGGGTGTTAGAAAGTGATAATAGTGGTAGGGGCTAGAGGAGTTGATGAGTCGTCTGAGACGTGATGAAGATATACCTTATATAGCTGATAATATAAGATCTTTTAAAATTGGAATTGAAACAATATACCTATACTACTCGTAAATTAAGGTTAGGTTAGGCTGTACCCACTCAATAATAAATGTTTTTTCACAATATATATCGCTGTTATTATCAATATATTTAATTTCCCATCGTACATAACTACTTGAGCTATTGAAATATTGACTCGGTTAAGTCACAATAGAAAAATAAAAATTAATGAGTTAAGTGTATAATATTGAATTATATTGTTTAGAAAACTATATAAGGAGAAAAAGGATATAAGTTTTAATAAGCAAACAAGTGAAAATTCAAATTTTAAAAGTTATATTATCTTTTTTAATATAGGTATACCAAGGATCCAATTACACAAAAAATAATGACTCACAGTTATTTATAAATAATTAATATATAATATAAGTTTTAAAAAAAGTTTCGCCAAAGTTTAATCTTATTCCTAAAAAATAACTTTCGCTGAATTAAAAACTCAAAGTTAACATTTTATAAATTAATAGCTCGTTTTTTTTTTTGTAATTTGCACAATTCCTATGTACATATAATAACAAGTATAATACATAAATACAGAGAGTAGTTTTAGACATTTTAATGGGCCAATACAAGGCTTAAGGTTCCATTTTATACTTCATACCATTTGAAGGTTTATTTATGTAGAAATGTAGAATATAATATACATTGGGGCACGTTCTGCAGTTGAAAATATTTGGTTTTTATGAATTTATTTGTAGCGGTTGATTAAACATTTACTAAAAATTGTAGATATTTTATTGTAACACCTGTTGATACAGTGCATGATAAATTATAGAAAATAGATAAAACGATTATACTCGTATATTTATTTATATAAATCTGAATTATAAATGTGTAATTTTGTATGTAAGAATAACCCTAACGTTAGATCTATCGGTGAATGTAATTGGGTCATAGATAAATAGTAATATACGAATATTATGACATAACTATAGGTATACTGTCACAATATTTGTGTACCTGCCTTTTATTTACAGGGATTGGGTTAAATAGTTTATGACGTATTGTCCAATCGCAATCATTTCTGATTTTGCTTTCACGGAGTTTAAATTATTTGCTTTTTACTGTACAAAAATGTATGGTATAATAAATAATATTGCACATCGATCATTTATACATTAAAGGTATCATATCATTGTATGTTATTATTGTTTATAGGCATCAATGTGTTATAGATATACAATTATGTATAATAGGTATTAAACTATTAAGAATAATTATCTTAAAAATCGTATGACGATTAGTAAATTATTATAATGTATTTGGGTAATATATTAATTTAATTTATCTGAAAGTACTTACACCTTACACAGTATTATAAATATAATTTATTATGCCTATATAATAGGTGTAATAAATTAAAGTTAAACATTTAAAGTGCTCCATAGTCTAAATTATGAATATGCCTACCACTATTCTATATATTTCTTTCAATATTGAACAATCGAGGAAAATAATCGTGATAAACCCCTGCTGTAATATTGTACAATAGTTTTTAATCTAAATTGTTTTATTATTAGTAAACAAATCATAGTTGATTCACGTGTGAGTTATTACTGAGGTATCCGTTCTACACATATTAATATAGTATATGAGTTGATTAGCTACGCGTTCATCAATGAAATGACTCAGAGCAGTAAGAGTTTATACACTATGTGTAACACTATCGACATAGTAATAACAACAGGTTAATTAATAACAATACTATAAACTTTTATATACGATTATTATTACAGTTGACGACTATGGATTTAAACCAATATTTATTATTTACTCGTAATATGCTCATTGATCGTTAATTTGTTCGTTCTAAAAATAAATACGTATTTAAAAAACAGAAAAATGTTTTATTTTATTGACCGAAAAATATGTTTCAATAAATTTAAATCTACATTTGTCATTTAATATTACGCATTATATATCATAATTTTTGTTATTTTTGGGAGAAAATCATAATACTTGAGCAATAATAATTTTGAATATTAACATACCTAATGGCTAATATAGATAAAATAACTACTTACGTTATAGTTGTGACGAAAACTTGACTGTTGAATTGCCGTCGTGCGACTGTTGTTGCTGTTGTTGTTGTTGTTGTTGTTGTTGTTGCTGCTGCTGTTGTTGCTGCTGTTGCTGCTGCTGTAGTTGATAGTAGTTGTGTAGCTGTGTGTGGGTGCCAGGGGTGGAGTGTTGAGAGTTGCGGAACCCACAACCGGCTGCTGTGGCTGCGGCCACCGGGTTGGGCACGACGGCGTCGAAAAAGTCGGACGGATCTGCGCTGTACCAGCCGGGTGCCCGGTGATGGCCTGCTGCGGCCGCTGCGGCCGCGGCCACATACTGGTGATGGTGCGAGGCGAACTCGTCTCCATGGTTGTGGTGGTGGTCACCGGTGGCGGCTGCTGCAGCTGCAGCAGCGGCCGCGGCTGCCGGAGTGGTCATGTACCTGTGATGGTGATGGTGAAGGTGGTTGCCTGTGGCGGCCGACGGTGAATCGTCCTGGTGATCGTTGTCGTACTGTAGGTGATGGTGGTGCTGATGGTACGCGGGAGGCGGTGGCGGTGGTGCCGATGACGAGGTAGGACCACCGGACGTCGGTGGCGCGGCCGGGTCACTCCCGGCTGACTGGTGCGGAGTGGACGGTGGCGGTACACCCGGCTCTTTTTTCGGCTGCTTGTTGCAGTCGACTTGCATCAGTTCCTTGACGCCGCCACCGCTACCGTGCAATAGCAACTTGCACTGTTCCTCGGTAACCTTCTTCAGCATGAGCTCCTGTTGCCGCTTGATGGCCTCCTCTTTCTCCTTGAGGGCGTCCTTCTTCTTAAACCGTCTCCGGCGCCGCAGGTACGACCCGTTGTCAAACATGTTGTACGAGTCCGGGTCCAGCGTCCAATAGCTGCCCTTGCCCGGCTTCTTGTCGTCACGCGGCTGCTTGACGAAACATTCGTTCAAGCTCAAATTGTGTCGAATCGAGTTCTGCCAGCCTTGCTTGTTCTCGCGGTAGTACGGGAACCGCTCCATGATGAACTGGTAGATTCCGTTGAGCGTGCACCGTTTGTCCGACGCGTTCTGTATGGCCATCGCTATCAGGGCGATGTATGAGTACGGTGGCTTGACCATGTCCTTAGCAGCGGCCGCAGCAGCTGACACCACGTGATGGTGGTGATGGTGGTGCGACGCCTGGTAACCTGCCGCCGGGTTATATCCATACCGGGCGTACTGCTCGTAAGCACCGGGATAGGCGGCCGGGTTGGACGTGCCCGGGTACATGCCCGTCCGGTAGTACGCGTTTTGGTCGCCGAACAGCGTGTGCATGATGTTAATATATTATTATGTAATACAATAATACCACTCACTACGACGATGATGATGTTAGTAATATTATGCGTTGTAGGTATAACAGCGAAAACAATTTTTTTTTAAAAAACTTATTTATTTTAAACGACAAAAGTGTTTTTTATTTTTATTATTACTGTTGTTATTACTCCGTGTCCAATCAAGATTATATATATGTATAAATATCGGTCGATAGGTGTGCGTGATATTTATTTGTATATATATATTTATATATATATATATATTTACCCGTTCGCGGGTCGTCCGTACTAGAGAAACACGCGAGACACGACGGCCTTTCCGTGGAAATGTTTGCAATGAAAACAATACGCAACGACAACAAACCCGCGCGCGCGCGGACTGACTGTGCACCGCCGCGCAAACGAAAACAACCCGAAAAAATTATTACACTGTCGCCGGCACGCACCACCGTCACCGCGTAGCCGTCAGCTCAGTCGCAGTCGCAGTCGTAGTCGTCATCACGCCCGCACGTCGCCGAGTGCGTACGACGCGGTCAGCCGCCACCCCCGGACGTCCGGAGAGCGGCCTCCGGTTGGCCGGGCCGGAGCACGCCCACCGGCCAACCGGGCTGTCGCCTCCCCGCGAGCGCAGACGACGAGCCGCCCGGCCACGGGGTGCGGCGCGGTCACCTTCCCACCCATCCCACTATACCGGCCGGCCGACGACGTGACCACACCGCGCAGTGGTATGCGCGCGCGGTCTGCTACCGCCGCCGAAAGATAGGCGACAGCCGCGGCCGCTCGGCGGTGCGTAGTGATATTATACGATTCCGTAAAACCACAGCCGAGAAACGGAATTATCGCGTCGCGCAAGCGAGGGGGCGGCGGCAGCGGCGGCGGTGACCCGGGGAAACGACGAGAAAAACCGACGCCGCCGTCGACGAGACGGACTGTCATCGTCCGCGGACGCCGAGCGCGCGTGTGCGCTTTTACGCGCCGCTCGAACCTTTGTTCGCGACATTATTTTTTATCTATATGAGCGCATACGGTCCTCTGAAAAGTTCCGGTATGCGTATTGAAGTTCCGGTTTGTCTGTATATATATATATATATATATATATTGGCATATGCGTGTGAAGTTTTTGTAGAAATCGTATACATTATATGGTATGATACCGTAATGAAGGAATCCGCGATCAATCGTTTTTCCTATGCCATCGCAATTTCACTCGCTCCTCGTCGCCGAAATTCGAATGCTTCCCAACACCAGACAGAATTTAATGCTCAGTAGGTATGTAATATTTTTCATCATCGGACAGTGGGTATTCGTCAGCTGGCGAGCAATTATATTTGTGTGATACCTGCTAAGTTTAATAATATACACCTAAAATACTGCACATATTCTGTGACATATTGCGAATAGATTACAATTATGATTATGATTATGATTAGTGATAAGGATAACGAAATCAAATAAATTTATTTATGACTATTTCCATGTAGAGGTACTTATTACTCGACCGACGAAATTCGTATCATAGTGGCGATGGATATGTTTGTATGTATTATACAAACATATAGGTATATAGATATAAAAGGCAAACAAATAAAAATATTCAAGACTTGTAACGTACGAATTATAATAATAAATTGTAACTGTTTATTTTATTAATTTGTTAATTAATGTTTGATTTAAAATCAAATTAAAAATAGGTAGGTGTTATTTAATTATGTTGTATATTATCAACATCAATTTTCCTGTTTCAGTATTATTGTTTTTAAGTTTTGTACGTTTTGAAACATCAAGGTTGAATAATTATAAGGTAATTAAATTCCATGTTTCTTTTACATTTTAACGTTAAATTTTATGTGACATTATGTTTATGTAGTATTGATGATGTGGATGAGTGAATAATTTAAATAAGTATAAAAGAAAAATAGTTGTACACCTTGTACCTGTACTTGTGCATATATATACTATCAAAACTTCAAAAGATACTAGGGCTGGCTTCCGAGAACAATAAAAATGGTATACTACTGTCCAAAAGAGAAATGCAGTAAGTATTGGATATAAAAACAAAAATGTTTTTGAAAAACAATTTTTCATTTCTTCATTTTTCATCTTGAAATAACCATATATTTCATCGCCTTTTTTTTCGAAATCGGTTTATATAATGCATTACTATTTGTTTTTTCCAAATTCATTTGATTATTTTTACCTATTTATAGATTCATATTAATGCAGTATTCCCGCTGTATTTTATTTTGTTGCTTTTTGTTTTGATGTTGTCCAAAGACAAAAAAACTCACATCATTAATTTCACTGCCTTTCTATTTTAAATTGAAGAATAGGCATAAAGGTACATTAAAATTGCTTAAAAAATTATGCCCATGTCTCGTTGTACTAATTATTGGAGTAAGACAGGAATTTATAGATTCGTATTATGTTTTATGTCGGCACCTAATACTATCTATATATTATATTTTATATTGAAATATCATTATATGAATACTGTTAATAGCATCATCTATAGATTCCATACGATCAATTAGTAGAATGTTATGGCTAATGAAAATCTAATAACTACCCTAATATTTATTTAACTCATTCGATATCTTGTTTAAATTGAAAACACAACATACGGATGTATTTAAATGTGTCACTGTCCCAACGATGTCATATATATTTGACAAATGATTTAAAGGGGCTTATATTTTGTTTGTAATTAAAACTTCGAAATAATATTCAAGTTCTATCATTTTATAATATAATCATGAGGGTAAAATAGTAAATACGTCTATATGCATTTTAGCTGATTGATTTGTTTAAAAATGTGTTTGATTGTAATAATATCATATTATAATATACAGATTCGGTGGCTTGGGTATATAATAATATAATATCTATACTAGGTATATCATACTATACAGTCCATCAGGGTAAATATTATATTAATACTAGTTTCAAAAATACTTATTATATGCTAAGGTATAAAATAATAACGTTCTATTTATATTAAAATATTATATAGCCAATGAATATTGTACATTATAATAATAATAATTATGGTGAGAATAATATTCATGTAGGCAAGTACCTTTATTTCTAAATAGTAAATACAAATAGCTCCGGTAATAATTTCAGGAAGTAACACTGTAATTACTAATTTATATATAATAGGTAGTTAGGTAATAATACAGCTATTGCATTCAATGCAGTAGTTGTTTATTATTTTTGTAATATACTCTTTATCGGATTTAACTAATGTATTATAAACTGTTCACTAAAAATTAAATTTTAACTAGTTAATAATTTAATAATTATAATACCTATGTTAGATTTAAATTACTTTTTAGTTTAGAGAGTTGATACGTTTAGTAAGCCTAATGAGTAAGATATAATTTTATGACAAACATCGCTATCACAGAAATGTTCATTGTTTTTTAAAATTAATAAATTAACTTTTTTTTTTTACTATGGTATCGAGGACTGGAGGAGGAACTATGGTGCCAGTACTTCTCCTCCAGCCCCCATCGTAACAATAAATTAACTAAATTAGAGTTTAGATAATTATTATCTATATAGTATAATAATGTAATAGGTACTACTAAATATTCGAAAACACGTTTTTTTTTTAGAAAATGTCTTCAAATAAAAATAGTGATTAATTTAGGGTTAGGATTTTAAAGGAAATGCTTCTTTTTATATATTTATGATAGAAATCTAATTATTGTACATAAATTCGTTTCACGCCAATCTGATACTTTTTGCTTTTTTTTGTGTGTATGCTTTTTTTGCTTTTTTTATTGCTTTTTTCAGTTATTCTAACTGTGGAATTTTTATGTCTGTTCTGCTATAAAAATAAAAAAAATGTTTATTTACTTAATAAGAAATGTGAAAACCCGCAATAATGACCGTGACCGTACCATTAGTGTGAAACGACCTTAAACGTATAGATTATCGATCTACAGATAGCTTATGGGTCTATAGCTTATCAGCTATTGCATATAGTCTGTAGAACTTATGCTCAGTACTCGTATAACATCGATATCGACCAGTTCAAAATTGAAGTGTTATAGTTCTTTATAGTGTTCTAAAATGTCAAAAGTTAAAACAAATGCATTTTTAAAAAAATTAGTGTTAGAATTTGGTGAAGAATTTTTTCAGACAGATGGATCGATTTTATATTGCAAGCTTTATGAAACAAAATTGTCACATGAAAAAAAAAATATATATAAAAGCGTGTACGGAGAGAAAAACACGTTCAAGCTGTTAAAAGACAAGAAAATGAAAACTCTGCATTACTTCAACCATTTTTACAACAGTTTAGTAGTCAGTCAGATTTTAATGCCGATTTAATATGTTAAACATTGGTAGCTGCAAATATTCCGATAAATAGACTAAATAATAAACATTTTCGGAAATTGCTAACAAAATATTGCAAAAAAACTATTAATGACGAGTCGACATTACGTAAAGGATATTTTAATTTATGCTATGAAAAAACATTGGCAAAAATTCGTGATACAATATCAGATCAAAAAATATGGGTGTCTATTGATAAGACTACGGACTTGGTACGTCGTAATGTTGCAAATGTAGGTAATAGTGGGCACATTACAACCACAAAATCCAAGTAATGTGTTCGTTATTTACACAGAATACTTGGATAAAGTTTATCATAGTACAATATTACAACTATTCGATAAAGCTGTGCATATTTTGTGAGGAAATGGTGTAGAACACAACGATGTTTCGCTATTTGTCTGAGATATGGCACTTTATATGAAAAAAGCTGGTGATTGTATAAAAGCGCTTCACCCAAAATGCATACATGTAATTTGCTTGGCACATGCATTACACAATGTTTGCGAAGAAGTACGTGCACACTTCCAAAATGTAGATCAGTTGATTGGAGGAATGAAAAAAACGTTTTTAAAATGTCCCAAACGTACAGAAATCTTTAATGAGAAATGCCCAGAATTGCCAAAGCCACCAAGACCAATAACGATCAGATGGGGTAGGTACATGGATCAAAGCTGTCCAGTATTATTGCAAACATTTGAATGAATTAAAAAGTGTAATTGAAGACTTTGAAGAAGAATATCAATGTGTTAAAGTAGTAAAACAACTGTTTCAAAATGTATCTCTTCAATCAAATATTGTGTATATTTCAACCAACTTTGGATTTCTACCATAAATATTGTCTTGGATGCAAAAAAGAAATTAAATGAAGCTAATGGAGATATTGCAACTGCAATTTCGGTAAACTATATCGTGTTCTTCTGAAAAACAAAGGCTAGAAACAATTACTGGATATTAATACTATACTGCGTGGCGTTTCATCAAACAAAATTAACTATCGTGGGTTTGATTTAAACGAAACCTCTTGCATGAAGTATGCACCGATCACTTCAGTCGATGTAGAGCGTTCGTTTTGTATGTATAAAAACATCCTCAGACAATAGAGTCAGTTTCACTTCTGAAAATCTTGCCAAATACATAGTAGTAAATTCTTTTTTTAATTTAAATTAATTTTTCAATTTTTTTTATTCCGTTTTATAAAATTATCACTAATTAATGTTAATTTTTAGTCATGCTCTTTTTTGTTCCTTTTTTAAAGAATAAATATGCTTCACTTTTGCTTTTTTTAAACAATTTCGTGCTTTTTTTGTTATTTATTATGCTTTAAAATCCGAGCCCTATAGTGATTATGTATAAGTATAGGTTAGTATATTACTTATATTACAATTTCGTCTTTCTATATTTTATTATTTAAATAGTTCTATATAGATTGTAAGATCTCGTTGAAAATGATTATTAATTTTACTTATTGATTTTATTAAAATTGATACGATTGTGTCAAATCAAATTATTTATTATATTTACGAAGTATTAATATATTATAGCATGTGTAGAAACGACATTACATTAATATACATTATAAATTATTCAAAGTTTTGTTTTTATGTAGGTATTTTAATGCAGTGTAAGCAATACAAATAAAAATGTGCAGTTTTTACTATAATATAAGTAATAGGTTTTTTACTTCGAGACTCTAAAGTACTCCAGTTATTTTTATTAATCAGTTTAGTAATATTATATGCATAATTTGCTCAGAAAAAGTATTATTCAGGGTGACAGTGAAATTAAATTTATGTACCATTATAGCAATTCATAAGCTATATCAAACTTTTTTTTAATGGAATTATATACATTTACCTATTTAGTATGTATAATATAGGAACTGGTACATCACTCCGAATGTAAGTACAATGTGTATGCATAGAAATTTTAGCTATAATATAAAGTATACCTATCAATTATCGTATAAATTATAAATACGTAAAAATGTAAATGATATGATTACAATTATATTACGACTTAATATGTTGACTTAGTATGTGTGTTCACAATTAAGGTTGATTGCAAAAATACAGTGTCAAGGTTCAATATATGAGATCAATCAAATAGTGTTATGGTTATTACGATAGATATACCTAACTTTAATATAATACGCTACATAAGAGTATAAGAGTATGTATATAATAATTATTCACTAGTTCTTAAGGAATATTCTTTCGCTCAAATAAATTAAAACTAAATCTCGTACAAAATGAAAATGTCAAATTAGCCCTATATTGAAACTATAAGAAAAATTCATTTAAAAAAACATTGAAACCCAATGGTCTATATCGATCGATTTATCAAATTGTTTCTTATGTCGATAACTCGTAGTTTTGTACATAAAATACATTTTGAACCTACATGAAAGATTTTCGAATGGTTTATAGAACCGATTGAAGGCTTATGGCGTATATAGGTACCTTTAAATAAACGGAAATCGTTTTGAAATATTCCTAGGTATTACCTTTCGGACTTAGTCAAAATGGAGACACTAAATATAGAAAACGATCGAATTACTTACAAGTCATCGTATTAAGACAAGCATATACAGACATATTATTATTATATAGGTATTAGCTGGTACCGAGGTGCCAAAAAAACTCGGCGCGAGTTTGTACAGTAAATATTATATTATACAATAATAGATAACGGAAGTCGTTCGCGGCGACGGATTAACATCTTCCGGTCCCTGCCGAAGTGCGCGGGCTCCCGTCAACGTGGTCCTTTGTCGGCGTTTCCGCTAATCGCGCGGATTACGACGAACGTGACGTTTGCTACGGCGGCAAAACGCCTTTGACAAAAACGAAGATCACCGCGACCGTACATTATAACACATAATAATTAATGATATAATGTACTATGCATTATATAATACCAGTCGGGATAACTAGCTCCACGCGAAACCGCGGCCGCATGTGTTTCGGCACATAATATGATGTACATCACATTGACATAATGATCTCGTTGAAGGCATTATTGCAGCCATCATCTTGTCACGATAATATACGATTACTGTATCTATATTATATTCTACTCCGCAGTGTCGATATACTTAAGTTTACATGTACGCAATAATGATATTGCTCGGCGACTACAATACTCAAATATTACAACTTACAGAATAGTGTTTCTATTTTATTTTACTAAACCACAATACCATATTGGTCCCCAGCCGTCAATTCGACATAATGGAACAAAATATACATTACCATCGCATATTATAACAGTTTTTGTATACTACACTGCAGTTGAAATATAAAATGCAAAGCAGAAAATATATGCCCACCAAATAATTGAGCAGAGAAGTTTAGAAGTGGTAATGTTTGTATTGTAAATTGCAGGGCATTCCAAAGAACGATGTATATATTGATGCCACGAACTTACTACAAGAGGTGGGATGGACTTAGAAGGAGCATACAATACCATGGTAAAAATTTCTAAAAATCTAAAACGGAATACGGAATAGATGCCGAAGAGACGGACTGGAAAATACTGTGCTCTATCCTATGTGCGCAGTTCCCAGATAAATTACATTAATTTTATTACATTTTGTCATTTTATACCAAAAACAAATTTGAATAATAACCATGGATGAATCGCAATCTGCAGTAGATATAATATCATGATAATATCACAATACATTAATATCAGCTATATTCAGTTTATGCGCTTGATGTCTAACCTAACCATATTCAAATATGCGATGAAAATCTTCCTTGGAATACACGTACATATGGTATCATTGATTAAATATGTATTTTAAAATGAATATTATTTAATTAATGATGGTACGATATTATAGTATGGTAATATTAAATAATATATACCACCATTTTAGCCTTCGCAGTGCACACAGAAGGTACTGAAATATGTTCGAATCCATTTTCGTAATTTATTATTGTACTTATAAGTTAAGTATTTTGCATATATGCCAAGCTGTATAATAAATTATTATTTCATGTAAGTACTTATGCAATTATATGTCTGAAATTAAAAAAAATTAAACTAAGTTAAATTAATAAACGTTAAACCCGATTTGCGTCACCACACATTTTATATGTGTCGTAGTGTACTAGTGTACATAAAATATGTAATAGAAGTATGGGATTCATAAATGTATTTGAACGTTTGATTTCAAATGACCAATCGAAGGGTAGTCATATAATTTAATAAAATATGTGTATTGCGAATTTCAAAATATTCATCAGGATGATTAAAATAAAACGCGCGATATTCCGTTAAGAATAATACAAATCTATATACATATCGAACACGTCTTGACTGACACACTGATCAAGGTAGAGCTTAAACTATGATAGCTAGCTAGTTAGAATTTAAATATTCAAGGTATTTTCGTACTACGCTATATGTATAATCGTATTTTACTCAATGATTACACAAGGATTTTGATATTCACGATGGAAATTGAAATTTTTTTTGTACATAAATGGTTGCTACTCGTTACATACAATTAAATTGTTATTATGATTATGATTGGATATAATTTTAATATGTGATGGATATTTGGTCATTTTTTTTTAAAATAATTATCACGTATACTTTGTTTATTTCTGCTAACCGTCGGTTATCCATAACAAAAAAGTGACTTATTACTTATTATCCACCGATTCAAAAATAAATATATATATTAAAAAACAAATCAAAGAAAGTTTGAATCATGTAAGGTTTGGCATTTTTTACGGTCGACAAAGTGCACGTGGTCATCTAGTTTTATATATTTTCAGAGAATAATATTGTAGGTGAATATAAGATGTAAGTATTGACTATTGGAATAATTACATATTATACTCATGTTGGTACCATATTAAATAAATCGTGTATTAATATCCATATAGATTAGTGTGGTCTTTATTTCTCGGTCTCTGATTTATTCAAATTATATTATTATTTATATTATAGATATTAATAATATTAATATTTTAGTGTTAAATGATTCTGTACCTATCTTTACCATAATGATTATTGATAATACATTAATACACATCATGATGTAAAGAGTGATTCACTAAACTGCATACTGTATGCTCTATAGGTATAATTTGACGGGTTTTAAGGAATTTCTATTATTCCACAATAAACATCGATCGCCTTTTTGTGAGTGCTATAGAATGGTTATGATAATATTGTATTTTTAATTCTGAGCAGAGCAATGAATGTTTATCCAATAATTCTATTGGATACGAAGCATAAGATAGTATATTTATTATTGTACATTGATGCTATGAAATTAATTAATTTTTATTTTATAGATTTGAACGATTAACAATAAAACGTATACAAAGACTGAATAGAATTCATTACCATAACCTGGATGTTGTTGGACGAAGAGAGCACCCCACATCCATACGATTTTAATGTACCTAGTTACAATAACTTAACAATATCTTTTTTTGCGTAAGTAAAAAATTAAAATAATAATAAAACTTTTAAATATGTTGTTGATTTTTGAATAAATTATATTTTATAATCACAAAAACAAATCACGCATAGCTTTGTTGTCGATAATTTAAAACGATTCATTTTCGTAGTTTACGAATCAATTTGTTTTTTAAGAGCCGCGCCGTGAACTAAAATCGTCGTGTGTATGCCCGTTGAATTGCCTACTCAGTGTTCCCGGAGGTGTTTTCTGATTTATACTGAGAAACAAAAACTGTAATTCAACTGCGTTGATTCAACAACCGTTGTACGATTTCCATCAAATTTAAATTAAGAAGAAAACATTTATTTTATACACTTTTATAGTCACAGTGAGAACAAAAATCGACCCATGGACTGGCTTTTTGGCTTTTGAGCTTTGAAATGTATTGTTGGCATTGATCGTCACATCTAATTTGGGATCAGTGTCAAAATGTCGAAGAATTTTTTTTTTTGCTAGTTGATTGTTCTGTACTATCGCTTCCTCATATCGTGTAAATAAATAATTCAACAAAATATAACAAAACTGTTTCGAAGCAGACAGGATTTTCATAAATCGATCTTAGCGTTGATACTACTATTTAACTGTAGGTCCCTATCTATTCCTAAGGCCATAATACATTGCAACTACTATATTAAAGATTTTTTTTTGAGTATAGTGTTTACAATAGACCTGATCTATATTGTAATATTTGAATCAACCTAGCTTTTAATTAACATTTCTTATGTATAACAATAAATCATTCTTAGTTCTAGGCTTCATTAACTTTAGTAAAAGGACTAAAAGTAACGGACTTTCGTATAAGGACTTCGAGGACCCTAATGTATTATCAACACTATAGTTTGTTTTTTTAGTGAGATCTAAGCTTGAAATAATGCTGCTTTTGGTCTCTCAATTTAAAGACTCATAATCAACGTATGGCTCTCTACGTTTTATGGTTTTTCAATATAATATTTCACGTGTATCTCATATGTATACTAACCTTACCAATCCTTACCAACAATGATTGTTGGATGGATTTAGATTACTTTTCAAATACAAAGAAGCTGAACGACCTTGATATGTTTGTCTTTGTATATATTTTGAAATTGGTTAGGATAGGTCATGCTACACGATTGGAAAAAATGTTTCATATAATATGTATTTATCGCCGGGCTGTTTTGCTACTTCTCAACTCGGATGACCCTTGGCAATATAGTGTGGTTGGACTGTGCCGAGACACATAATTACGATTGTAGTCTGCTCAGAGTATCGCTCTGTATAAATCGCAAAAACGACGACGAGTGCAGCTGATACACGAGCACAGAGTATAAAAATATAAATTCTTCATATACATATTGTATTAAATATAATACGTTTTAATATCGATGCGTGTTCGGCGGCGGCGGCGGTGGTGGTGGCGTATTGAATTATTTAATAGGACCAATCAAATTAATACGGTCGGTTAAAAAAACATCGAGGGTCCGGGGCTTACTCTGAACCGCACTCGGCGTGGAAGGGTGGTTCGGCGATGGTAGCTGGGGTGCAGAGGGACGAGATAGAGCGAACCGGGGGTGCCTATTATTCGGAACGGTTGCAAACGTTGCGGCTTGACGGCTTTATGCGCTGCGGTTGTTTGTTCAGCGCGGCCGTCTTGTTTATCTTGCACCGCGCGCTGCACGCACCACCGTCAACGTCACAGCCACCCCAACCCCCGTCACCAAAAGCCGTATATAATATACTCGCACGCCCGGAAAATAACTTTGTATAATATAATATCATATGCACACCTATACTGCAGCCTTATTTTCACACACACATATACACACACACACGCACATACACGCGCACACATCTTCGTCTATACGAAATAATAATATATTATAATCTCTTTACCACTCGCGAAATGTAGAAAGCCGTCGTCGTCGTCGTACACGTATATATTTACAAAGATATAATGAATTTATATGTGAATACGAGACACGACATATAAGGAACGTATATACGTACATAGTGTGCACAGTCACACAGGTTCGAAGTATATGCATATACATTGGCATGTATTTTTACTATCATATACTCGCACATATAGGTTTAGGTATATAGCAGGCGATATTATAATACATAATAATTGTATATATAACTAGTATAACTACATATAGCATTATATATGCATTGTTATACCCATCTCGTTATATTGTGTTGTTGTAATGAAATAACAATTCACGCGTCTAATATATAATAAGAACCACGTGTATGTATACAACTTGTGTAAGTGTGCCTGTCAGCACCGACGCCCCCTGCGAAAGATAACTAGGTACATAATATTATGTATTATAATGCATATAATGTTATTTATACAGGGTGTAACTCCAGAAATACTGACATATAACAATTAATAATTAATTACTGAACACCGATCGACATATAATAATTAATAACTTTTGTTTTAGTAAATTCCTATAGTCAAATGAATAGTTATTTATTGGCCTATTGGTAAGCATTAGTAAATAATTTTCGTCTCGATTCATACTGCACTGAATTAACCCCCGTTCCCCGCCGCCCACAACACCAGAATCGGGTATGAAGAAGCAAAAGAATATGTTTATTTTTTTTTAATTATAAACTCAATATAATATTATAGTTTTATCAAGTTTAATTTATAAAATATGAACGAGATAGTCTTATAAATAAGAATAAGTGTAATAAATATTACAATAATGGTTATAGAATATATAGGGACTAACTGATCATTAATTTGTTTACCTGACAAAAAATACTAATACATAACTAAGGAAAAATACTAAAGACAATAATGTATAATAGCATCGTGTGCCTACGTAAACTATAGTAAAAAAAGATTTTGGACAGTACCTACATCATATTAAGGTGATAAAAAACAACTATATACACCCCAGTTTATCATGAGAACGGTCTGCAGGTATGGAATCACAATGCCACATAATGAACGTTTAATAAGGGTGTAGTAGTTGAACTCTTAAGATTGATCACCCGAGTGGTGGGTAATTGGTCCGCATGGTCCACATATTTTATCTACCTGCGTGTTATACAATGTTTGTTTACATTTTTATCATCCGGATATTATGCAACAAATTAAATTTATATTTTTAAATTGTACCCGGAGGTTGGGCAACAATTGTATAGCACAAATATATAACATATTTTATTAATTACAGAACCTATAAAATTGGAAATTTTTTTTTTTTGGGAATTAATATAAACAAAGAAAATACATAAAATAAGTCAAATGATAACGGTTTTTTTTCAATGACTTATAAATACAATTGTGTTTTCAAATAATGTAATAAAGATTTAATAAATTCAAATTTTAATTAAAAATATAATTGTTTCAAATTATTCGTTCTTTTCCTGACACTTAATGTTTCTACCCTTCTAAATTTAATATAATAAATTGAAATAAAATAGTGCCTGAATCAATGGTCTACCTGTTCTAAATGTACAATTTTAGTGGCCCAATTACAGCATACCTTTTTTAAAAGGGCCCATTGTAGTGTAATATCTGGGCAGCCGATCAACCCCGCAACCCACCACTTCAAACAAATTCAGCTTAGTTCCCCATCTTTATATTATATTAATACTACCACGATTTGGTCCATAATTAGGAATTACGGGGTCATTAAATATTAAATTAGAACTTACGGATGTCGAGACACCCAGACCCAACTAACTAATCTTATATAGTGGGCTGTCAGTTATGCGCATGTGTTAAACGTCACTGTCAGCCATTGTATGCTATAGTGTAGGTATAGGAAATCGTATACTCATTCTCAGTTACCTTTATATAATCGTATTTTATATATTGCCCAACTGATTTGATTTTTTAGTATTTTAAACTATTTTTATAAGAAAAAATTTAACATAATATAATTTGATTTGTACATGAAACAAAACAATTTTATTTAGTGTCCTACATATCATAAGCAAAAAAAAAAACAATCAACGGTGATAATAATTATGTCTAATTTTTGGCCTGTATTGATTAGTGTTACAATAAAAAAAATAACTCGAAGCATTAAAAAAGTATTTTTTCTAATTCAATTTTAAAATTTTTATTTTTTATTTATTGACATTTTAATTTTTTGAACTTTTTAGTTTTTGGGTATTTAGTTTGCTTTTGGCATCATTTTTCATTTTTTTGTGTTGTATTTGACGGCGTTTTTTTTATCAATTTACTTCAACTAAAATTTTTATTTAAAACTATTTATTTAAACTGAATTTTAAGGGCTTTGTAATGAATTTTTTAAGGTTTTATAGTGCATTAAACGCAGAGCCATATTGATAGTCTTATATAGGACTATTGATTTGACCTAAATAACCTACCTAGTACCTACCCTTTCTACTGTATATTTTATCAACTGACTGGTAATTGAACTATCAGAGATTAAATGATTTATATTGTATTTTAAAAAATACCCGATTGTCATTGCTGTAAGTCGTAGCCAATAGTTGGTAAATTTATCATAAAATGTTTCATATTAAGCCTTCCTACAATGTCCAGACCCATAATCTTATTACTTCACCGGCCTAGGAAGATATACTATCGACGAGTCCACCTCTAAAATATGTAACATTGAAAAAAACACTTTTCGATATCGATATTTGAAATAGTACTTTCATAACGGTTAAAGAGGCTATAGCTATCACTATCCGAATCGATAAATTATTATACACGAGATACCTTTTAAATTTTTAATGTATTATAACCTAAAATATTACTTTTTATTTATTTATCTCAAACAGACCATGTTTAATTTTTAATGAAGTAATAATATTAATTACAATAATAGTTATGCAAGTGTGTAACATAATGTGACTATTATTAAAACAACGGCACTCAAGAGGCAGATCACGAATTACAGAAATCTGAGATCTCGACAATTATGACGGCAAATGACGTAGGTAGTAATAAGGTATGTGCTATTCGAATTTAACATATTTTTTTCCTGACGAACTCGACACATGCGAAATAATTAGAAAAAAACGTACTTATCGGCACAGTTTTTTTTGTATATTTAGATTTTTAATAAACATTTTAATAATATGCCGGCGAGTGGTTAAAAGAATAGTTCATCCGTAGGCGTTTCTGAGTTTCGCCAGTTGTTCGTCGAGTCCCAGGATCGGATCCTGCGGTGGCGCCGACGTAGTCGTTTGACGCAGTGACGAGCACTCGGTCAAGGCCGCGGGCATTACGCTCCTGACGTCCAGCCCGGCCCGGTCGAAGATCCGAGCCATGAGCATGTCCACCTGTTCTGCGCCCGACGTCGTGGCCGTCACGCCGCCGAGCGCTTGGGTGGCGCACGTTTGCCGCGCCCCCAAGTGGTCGGTCATCCGTTCAAACCTGTCCATGGTGGCCGACAGCGACGGTAAGTGCATGTCGCGCACGTTGCAGGCCGACGCCATCGACGTGACCACTGACCGCATGGCCGAAGTAACCTGGGGCGGTTACATATTATAATTTAGAAACGTGATAGCACTGACCATACCTATCGATAATTAATATTTGTTTCTATCATATTATGCTTTCTTATCCCGAAAGAAACCATTATCTCCTTAAATTATACAAAGTCATAATTGATTTAATGGGAAGTTTACTTTTTTAAAAATAATTTTCAGTTTCATTGATTTAATGAAATCGATTTCCTGGAAGTAACGAAAGAATTTCATTGGATCAAAATCAAACCCTTTTTCATTAATTTAGTATATTTTTTTCATAAACTAAATGATATTTCTTTTCCGGGCGTGCGATTTAGGAGTGTGTAACACAATTTTTATGGTATTTTTTTTATTTTTTACGCGTATTCGAAAAAAATATTATACTCAAAGTACAAACTATTCAGAATTAAAGCCACAAAAAACCGTTTTATGTTTAATTTTTTTTATTAATAGTAATTTACATTTGGCGATTATCATAATATGTCTTATTCGCAATACAGCCACTCTACAACCAATAAATCTTTCTACTTTTATCTATATGTAACTTCAAGTTCATGTATTAAAACTTCGTTTGGATTTTCAATTATGTTATTTAAAATACACGTTTTGAAGGTAATAATATTATATTGGTCACTAAAATATCGATCATTCCATATTAATGTCTTAAGTAAATAAATCGATATTATTAATTATTTCATCGAATGAACCGTATATAAACTACAGATTAAAAAAAAAAAGGTTTAGGTAGGGTATTAAGACTTCTTTTTTAAAATTTTTGAACTGATAATAGGTACAGTATCGTAAAGACGTAACCAAGAAAATCAATTTTTATTCGTAATACAAACCAATAGGTATGGGTGACTTTAGATCAATTTTTCCAGCATAAATCCAAAAATATTTATAAATACGATTATATGAAATAAATAAAAATTATGTAGAGGTATAGAAAAGTCAGTCCGTTTCGATTATGATTCAGGTTTCTTATAATGCATTCATTTATCAATCGGTATAAATGATTGATCAAAAATACACTTTTGGCAAACATGTCATCCGTTCACAATATTCAAGCGATGAAAAAAAAAACAGTGCCAAATTATTGTTATAAGAAGATTTGCATTGCTGAACATATACAGAGCGTACATGTACAGCACGTTCATCTACTCAGATTGGTACTCGACGCAATGATGTCAATGAATTGGCCATTGATGGTGTCGATGATGTGATGAAAGTGTGAACTAATAGCACCATAAGTAGTAGACAGTAGTTGGTCTCAGCATCTCCTCATTTTAAATCAATAGATTATAATTTTGATCGAACTTTGATCGTTAATATTGTGGATAAACAGCAAGACATACAAGACAATCTCACATCGGTTCATAAATATAAACAAAAATATAGTCTTGTTTTGGTATATTTTATAAATTTGTGAGTGTATTGTATATAATATATATTATATACATATTCATTTGTAGTGAAAAATGTTAAAGTGTTTCGTGGTGATCAAACAATATAACCACTGACCACTACTTATTGGAATTAAAATATTGTAATAAAATAGGTACACAATTTAGTAACTATGTATTTTAAGCGTAACTATTTACCAATCACAACAGGGAAAATATGAGTTGAGCATTTTTTTATTTTTATATTACATGTGACTATAGTAAGTTATATGTTTATTAAATTTATGAAAATATGCATATTTTTTATTTATAATCGTTATAAATATATTTAATCGATCTATATATCAAGTTTTTTTATCCATAATTATAACCGATCAAGTTGTTCAAACATAATTTATATTTTATAGGTTAAGATCGGGAAAACTATACAAACTACTATAGTCCTAATAGGTGTTATTTAAGTTTTAAATAAACGAGAGTGAAAGTTATAACTATCCCAAATGGGTAACTTAAAAAAGAAGCAACTCGCAAGCACATATTCCATGTTATGTTCCCTTATTTTTTTCATAAACACATACATTTTATGCACGACCCCACTGCTACTAAATATAAAGGGAATCCAACACTTCCAACTACTCATTAGTAATATTAGTAATCAACAATATTTATCATTGCGACAGTAATTTCTCAGTATACAAAATAATATTTTCTCAAATTATTATAAAAGTAGGCATGTTTTTGAGATAATAAAATACAATAATGGTTAAACGGAAACAACCGGGATGCTTTTAAAATCAGATAGTGTCAAGTTTGTCTACCTTGCAACAAACCAAATTACTAGATTGCAAGTGCTATTAGTTCACACTTCATCACATCATCGATATGATGTGAATGGCCCAAAGCCCCAACTTGAGTAGATAATCGCGATAAGAAACTTTTAATCAATCGCTTTCCCTCCCACCATTTTCCCCCTCACCCTCTGTTTCAAAAAAAAAAAAATAACTGAAAAAGTTCATACTGTGTTTTGCACGGTGGCCGTTTGCAGGATGTTCAGGGCTCCTTGTAAACGGGCCCCGAGCGTTAGCAATTCCAAACTCTGGTTATGGTTGCGTACAGCGTTTTCCGCATGCACCCTACCGATTTCGAGTTCACCGAGCATCACGTGCTTTAAACATGTATGAATTTCTTTAGCCTCTTGTTTTTTCAATTTTTTGGCACTTCTTGTTATCTGTTTGGCAGCTAATTTCAAGTCAAATATTTTTTTGTCTAAATGCAAAGTCATTAATAATTTTAATATCCGTGTTATATTTGTCTGTTAAAAATATGTTTGTCGGTCGACTAAATACAACCCACAGATAGGTAGGTAATATTAAAGTGAAAATCAACACAATAACATAAACACTTTAATTTAGCCAATTACTAAACCTTCATATTGTTTAGTATGATTTAAAAAAAAATTAAAAAATATATGGCCTATTCAAACTCTGTTTTTATACATATAGATATAAAAATATATAATAATAACTTTTGTGATTTATAAAAAAAAATATACATTTGACGATTTGTGACTGTTTCACCATTTAATAATAACTATGAAACATTTAATGTAATGAAGTATCAATAATAATGTTACATTTAGAAACAGATATGAACATTGACGGATAGTTAATTAGGCAGAGGACAGTAAGTATAGCCTTTAGGAATTAATGTCTAATGATGTAATAAAATGATATAATATATTATATATTGTGTCGATGGCGTTTATTGTTTGTTGTGTGACAGTTTATTGAGTTTAATGTCCTAAACACTCTTAAAATATGCATCATAATAAACTCTTATCCAATAAAAAAAAATCTAAAAAGATTTTTTATGGAATGTTCGTTTTTGGTAGTTTCAAACAAACGATAACGTGACAGAAAAAAATATGTAAGGAGGTACACAATTAGTAAAGAATATGATTCATTGTTGGATTATACGGTGTTCATCTATATGCACAGGTTGGTATTATGTTAACTATTCAATGAAATTATTGTAGTCCCCAGCGACGGCTTATTGATTAATAATTATGTATTAACTGCGTATTGTCCGACTTCGCCCGGGTTAAAATGATTCTATCCTTCTATCGTATTCCGTTTTACTCCAGTTTATTTTAAACAACACAAGCTCAATCATTTATTACATTTATGATTTTCTAATTTTTAATAGTAAACGAGAATTTTTAAAGCAAATCATGAATGGTGACAGGTTGAAAAATAAGCTATGAACACCTTCCTAGTCGAAAGGAATCTATTAATAAACTTTTATTAAAAATGGACAATGGTCCAATAGTTTTCGAGTCTACATATATAGTGGACAAACGAACAAAGAAACATTCTTTTTTATACATACCTATTACCTATATATATTGGTATATTATTATACATGTAATAGTTTTCGATATGTACCTTTACGGTTCACATATTTACTTAGATATTATTATTCGAAGTTGAAAGAAAGTGGAATAGCGCCCCTTGTTTTTAGGAAAACTATATAATTGAAAAATGGACTAAGCGGCTGGATTTAGAATAAAACGCACCTCCAACGCCGATGCTGCGAAGTGCTATTAAAACAAATACAACCGAAAGAGTGTCCGCCCTCCGAAATAGCTGCGTGGGTACCTCTATATGCTCTCATCCGGGGTAAATTTTGTCGTTGAGGAGTTGACAAGGAGTTTTCAGTGTATATAATAAAACGTACTGCAGCTACAATATTGTAGACTGCAGAGTATATATGTATGTATTGTCCTTAAATATATCTATTATCTGGGTATTATACATTTATGTGTATGATGATACGGTTAACAGGCGTGTAATACTACCCAGTAAATGTTGCTTATTATAAATAGAACTATTTTTGTTTTTAGACCTATGTGCAGCGGTGTTTCAGACGGAACTTCACATTTAATCGTTTCGTCGTTTCATTGTGACGAGAAATAATTAAACAGTGGAATCTGCAGAGAGAAACAATAATATGCAATTTACTCTCGACCACTGGGGTTTTATTTATTATACACATTGTGGGCGGAAATGGGTTTTGCACCGCCGATTTACTAGAAATTGAACCCGCGGCCTCGAGCGCTTCTAATGGGGATACTATGTTATAAAGATAACAAAATAAACTCAATGGAAGTTTTCCCATAAAATGTCATGTGCGACGCATTATTATTTATTTTATCGATTTATTCTCTCTCATCATTTTAAATGTATATATATTTTTAAAACCAAAACCGAACAATTCGTATTACAACGGAGCACACTGCTCTGCTATTGCCAGTGCAAAAGGGTCATAATAAATAAATCAAAAATCTTGAATCTTCAGCAGAGTATTTTGAATTGAAAACATAATTATTAGAATTTTAGCTGTGAATCATTTTTGTAATAAAATACTTGATTGAATATATTATACATTAGCAAGCCTGGGCAAGTTAATGTTAATTTTTAACTGAGTTAAGTGAAGTTGATAGAAAACATTTTAAAAAGTTTAAACTTTAAAGTTAATAGATGTAATAATTTTTTTTTAACTTAGGTAATTTAAAAGTTATTTTAAAATTTATGATTAATTTATTAACTTAAGTTATTATTTTTTTTTTAAATGTATAAGCAGCTAGTTATATGGTTTAAAAGAATAAAAAGTAAATATTTATGCAATATATATCATCAATAATAATATTATTGTATTTATTATTAGATTATTTATAAATGAACGAAATTGGATTTGATTATAAGTAACTCGTTACTTATCAAGTGCATATCAATAAAAATCAGTTGAAAATTAAGTTAATAACAATTATATTTTAAAAAATTAGTTAAAAAGTTAAAATTAACTTAACTTTAACTTTTTATCTCATTTATGCTCAGGCTTGTACATTATTTTACTTATCGATGTGTATCATACAACATTGAGTTTTTATTAAATAAATCAGGACAAATTCGCCATAAAAATACGCAGTGATCGTTGTTTCGTGGCTTGAAAACGGTTTATTTATTTATGTTATTAATTTAGACGTCAGGTTGCTTATTTATTTTTAATGTGCGGGACGCACATCGGGCATACAAAATGTAACTTTTATATTTTTCGGATCCGATTATATGGTTATATTATTATTATATTATTCTTTAAGAGGACACATCTTACCAACAATAAAAAATTATGATGTAATGGAAGATGAAATGCAAGTTTAGTACTCTCTTAAATGATAATATGAACTCGATTGGAACCACGTCAATAATAATAATTGATATACAATAATATGATAATACTATAGTGGACGTTTTTCGTATACTTCAGTATCTACTTCACTCACGTAGTGCGCTATTGGTATACCATAGATGCACGAACAGTTATATGCATATTATTATACTTTATCTTATATATACACATAATATGATTGTTATTATTGTTGTATTATTAATATTATCATAAACATTTCGAGTGTTCTAATCTTTGACTTTGACTTACACATCTGCTGTTTCGTGATGATATTTTAGGATGCGTGTACATAATAAATTATAAATAATATTGTATAATAATAAATTAATACCAGAGATTAAGGCGTGTGTCATATTATTATATCCTGTGTTTCGATGTATTTGAAAAGTTAATCCTATTTAAATTAGAGGTACTTAATTCGTCTGATATTTTTAATTAACAGGTGGTACTGTATGATCGTCATTACAAGCGTTATTTGTGTTCATCTGCGTAGACGTATTATAATTCTGGTATGAAAGTACATTTTGTACAAAGTTCTTTATTTTCGTATCAATATTTAATATACTTTTGCATTAATGTTAGCTCGATAAATAAAAACGTTCGGTAAAAATAAATAAATAGCGAAAATGGTTAGGTGAAGAACATATAAGTATACCTACTGCATTGTTAACATATATATTTGATTCCTATGTCGAATGAAAATCATATTTTCATTCACACATTAGTAAATTATGTTATATTATGTTATATTATAATGTATATGTACTTTATAGTGTACTACAATCGCGTGTTTAATCACGGTCGTTTTGTCTAAACTGTCCGTCGTCTGGATGAAATCCGGATGCCAAGCTATTTTCTAACAATAACCACAAAAATGTTCGAGAGTGATTAATGGTGTGAGTTTGGCTTTATTCTTCTAACGTAAGTTCCTGTGTTTGAAATTGAAAAAATACCTGGGCGAGATTTGAATAGCAGGTTTATATTATACCATAAAATGATAAATAATAATTGACTGGAATTTCAATGCAATGTGTTTTTTGTTCTGGTCCCTTTAAAATGCAACTGTGAGAATGGAAAATATATTTTGGTATATTTGTCGATAGTCGATACTGGTTATTTTATTTTGCGTTTTAGTATTTTTAGTGTGTCAGAGCATTTTTCATAATTTGTGAAAATTATTTTTATCAAACAGGTTTTATAATTATTTTATTCAATATAAAACCTATTCTGTATCATTTTTTCTTAAGGTTGAGATTTTAATGAAATTACTTATCATTGGCTTTATTTGTATAAAGTTAATAGTTTTAATAATTACCATCATGGTGTACAGGTACATCAGTGATCAATATACACTGTATTGTCAGTATTGCTGTTACTTGTTAGTAATACCTACAGTTAATTAATTAAATTAAATTATTTATTTTTATTTATTTTCAGATTATAATAAATGAATAAACGTCGGAAGACATGAATAGTCTTTAAATTATTACAATTAATACAATGAATAAAAAACTAATTTTTAATATTATTGTATTTACTTTCAAATCTAAAAGAACTACATTTTAATTCAGTTTTTGAGATCTTTAAGTCATCTCTATATTATTTTTTGGATATATTAAATTTTCATGATTTTTCAGGGTATTAAATCCTACACCTATTTATTATATTATATTAAGCAAAACAAGTCATTATCTTAAAGAGCAGTGATAATCAAATTACGAATCATCAGGACAAAATTTAAAGTCCAGAGGTCAATAATAAGGTTAGCTTAATATTTAGGCAACTATGAATCTCATAATCAGGTACGTTAATCTAAGTGAACTTTCGATGGCTGTGTGAAGAATTTGAATTAAGTAAATTATTTTTAATTTGGCATTTGTATTAAATTCGTTTAACTTGGCATTTATATTAAATATGTGAGTGTTAGAGCTGTCGACGATATGAGGCCCATTTCCCGACATCAAGTTTCATCATAGTGATTCAAACACGTCTTTTGTTGCAAGTAGGGCCGCCGATTCACGTAAAAAAATTTAAATGCATTCCTCTCATAGCTTAAAATCTAAAAGTCTAAATCTCTTTCGAAATCGTGGCAACTTTCCATGCCGCTTCGGCCACCGCTATCGTCACTGTGACGTCTTCGTCTGCGGCTCGGCGACTTCTGCGTCACGCCATAATAATAATAATAATAATAATAATAATAATAATATCAATAATAATAATAATAATAATAATAATAATAATGATAATAATGATAACTATAATAATACTGTGATACTGATGGTAAAAATAATAATACCAATAATTATAATAGTAAATAATCTCGATGAAAATGATAATTTTATAATACCGTGCATAAAAAACGGCGCCTGCACCGTTGCGTTGGTCGAGTGTGAAAACGTACAGTGCGCAGCAGGTCCACGGGCACCAGCTAGACCCGACAGCAGCTGTGTGTGCGTTCTATTTTCGGTGATATTCGTATGTCAGACTTCCGAGCCGTCGCACGCTCTCTCGACCGCCCGAAAGACGATTATACACACACGCAATTTATAAAATACAAAAATCGTACACCGTATACCGCGAACCACGTACAATACTCTTCGACCGCAGTAGTGAATTCGATTATTTCGTCTTAATATTATCGTTGTATTTCGTACTTCCGTCCGGCATATCCGCCACCGCGTGCGTCCGGTCAGACCGGCCCCGCGGATAGCACTTTGGATGGCAGTGCACCATGGGCAATTCGTCTTCGTCGCACGGCAAACTGCACAGGCAGTACAACGGCGCGGTTAGTTCCCGAGACCATCTGTCGTCGTCATCGTCGTCCGAGAGATTCACTTCCGGTATACTCTTCACATACCATCTATTTAAAGTACTGCGTGCATTTGAATGGCCCAGTTTTAATATTTTATTGTTTTTTAACATATTATTGTAACGTAAGCCCGCGACATTGCGCTCTAACGCTTTACGGATTCCCGTAGACGCAAAAGATATGTGATTATGATGAATAAAGTTCTCGTAATCTGGTTGTTTGCTTCTATAAGTACGTTTTGTTGCAGGTCCTCCGTCCGCTCCGGGAAAGCCGTATCTGGTGGTCGCGGATCCAGCAGACGAACCGGACGTGATAACTGTCAAGTGGAAACCACCGGCCCGTGACTGCGGTTCGAAAATCACAGGTAGAATTCGATAATGTAACACGATATCGTTCAATATACATATAATACAACTATTATATATGCATGTAATGTACTTAATTTTACATCGATTATAAACTGCATTGAACATCACGACGTTTTTCATCGCTACATTACTATATTCTTGAAATCAATATTGGTAACTTATTCAAAGTTTAGAATCTATAATTTAGAAATCTACAATTTTCACACAATACCTAAAACATTGGCACATAATATTATAAAGATGGTAACATTTCACGAACAAGATTTTTTTGTTTAAAATAAAATATTATTATTAGGCTTACAACGAATCAAATAAGTGCCGTAATTGAAAATTTAATAATCATTGTAATAATTACTTTTCTAATCGACGATAGGAACGTAATATTTTAAATGTGGTATAATTATAAATTTTAATAGGTTAAACTATATATTTTACAGTAGGTACCTATGTAAAGAATCACAATAGCAAAATATATTGTAAGAAAGTTCATTCACATGAAATATATATTATTCTCCGGTGCCAAAAAGTAGGACGAAGCGTAATAAGTGTAACGTTTTACTGGAATTTCTATTAATAATAACTCAGTGTTATACGCGTGCCTTTAACCCTCGCAAAATTACTAAATAATCTTTAATATGGAATAAGACGTATAGAAAAAGTATAATAAATAAATAAAACCATGTCAAAATATGTACCTAATATTTGAAGATTAATTTATATATATATATATATCGAGTAAAACTGCTAAACCAAGATAGTAAAAAAACTAAGTATATGCAATATGAATTAAACTATGTATCAATTAATTCATAATATTATATTTTAGGTTTGTTTATCAATAATTATTTTGATAATATAAAATATTTAATGATAAATTATTTTAACAATTATTTTTAAAAATATTATGTTATTTTACATTAATGAACTAATATATTTTTTGTTAATTGTTGTTTTTATCAAAGTAGTTTTATTACGTCATATTATATTCGAAAGTCACGTTTTTGGCTGTGAGACACATGTATATTATTTTTCTGAGAATGACTACATATATACATTAATAATACACAATTAAATACTAAAATATATTATTTTTATTCGTTATTACAGTCATTAGTTAATAGTAATGACTCATTACTTTATAACTGTTATTTTCGAAGGGTTTTCTTTTTTAGAAAAATGTACGGCACAGTGCACGAATGCTTAACTGATAATAATGTTTTACAAATATTTGAAAACAATTTTTAGTTACATTTTTATTTAGACGTTATATAGGTAAGTACTAGGTACCAACCATCTAGTTAACATGTGCAGTGTCCACAATAAACTATCAATACTTTTAGCATTCAAAATGTTAGTGGCGCCTTCTCAAGAATTCTGAATCTAGTGGTTATCGAAATGTGCAAATCGTAAATACTCAATGGCGAGTAAATAGGTACTCAATACGAATTTGGCAAGTGGCATATAAGATGAACATGAAAGGTTATTCTGCTATATATTGATGGATCTGACTTTTTATTCATCGGCAAGTTACAAAGTTACCGGCTAGATGACCAAAATATAGTGTTATATAATTATTCTATCGCTGTGCCCTTTGAGGTTGTAGGGGACGTTGCTAAAGTTAACATTTGGGATAGAAATACATATTTTATTATCATTTCGTCCTATATAAATATACCATATTATTATTATAGGCTTATAACGACTTATGCTTTTTTTAGGGTATATTGTTGAGCATCGTCGGACCATTTCTCCGCATTGGGTCAAAGCCACGCCGGGAAAAGTCCAACACAATCAGCTGACGTTAAGTGGCCTCGAGCCAGGATGGCGTTATCAGTTCAGAGTAAAAGCTATCAACGCATCGGGACAATCGCCACCGAGCATCGTTTCAGATCCGGTCACGATGACCGTTCACAGGACGGCGGTTGTGGCACCGGTTTTCGTTTGTGGAATAGAAGACCGCGTCGCTTTGGAAAACGATCAGGTTTGCCAACGTCCATGATACGTAAAACTAATTAGAAACCCCCCTTTTGTTATTAGAAACAAGCGGGGCCCAAAGAACTGAAAAATTGCGAATATAATTTGCTATATAATCATGTTTGGTAAATTATATATAAAAAAAAATTAAGAATATTAATAACAAATATTAAACAATAACTATCACGTGAGTTAATTACATTTATCAGTTCTCATTGTTATACTCCGTACAGTTTATAAAATGCAATTAATATTTTACAAAATTTTTTAAAGAAACCACAATTTACTGACGATTTCCAAATAGATGTACTGTAAATCTACCAAGTTAAAACATACACTAATAGTTATCATAATATCGTACACCTGGTAATGTTGCTCTTACTTGATCATACAACCTAATTAAATTAAATAGCACAAACTTATTCTCAATTTATTTTTTCACCTATATAACCAAAGACTAAAATCATTCTGTCGTATTGTTATTATTATTTTTATTTTCTCAAGTACAATAAATTTCACCTGCAGAACCAAATAGTTTTTTTTGTATGTATGGCCATGTATTAAACGTATTTTAACTTGAAAGCGTATTAGAACATAATTTATACCTAGGTATCAATACGAAGGCACTGATTTTAAAATTTATCAATCTTAAATTATTTCTTGAATTCCCTTCGAATGAGATTTACCTATAGAACTACTGAGGTTGGTTTAGATTAATCTATTATGTACACTAAAAATTAGAACAGTTTATATTATATTTTATAATAAACTTTATAATTGTACATATGATTCAATAATTAATTAAACGTCAGTATATCCTTGTAAATAATAATATTTTTACTCAAATTATACTGATGGAACACGTTTTAAGGTAAAATTCGAAGTGGAGTTTGAAGGAACGCCAGCACCGAAAATCAGTTGGTTCAAAGACGGGTTTGAATTATTCAGTAACAGACGGCAAAGGGTGAATACCGATAATGGAATGAGCACATTGTACATCCACCAGGCTGAGTACTCAGATGAAGGAGAAATAAAATGTTCAGCTACAAACAGAGCTGGGCACGCAATAACAAAGGCTAGGTTGAGACTCGAAGGTATACATCAATCGCAGTCCGTCATGATTTAATGATATAAGACTTATATAATATGTGTAATGTGTTTTGTAAAAATATGAGCCATAGTTGAATGACTACTAATAAATTAACTTTAAAATTATTGCATTAAAAACTAAGAATAATAATACAATTAAGTGCAATGACACAATATAGTTGCGACACGTCGTGAAAATAATCGTTTGAACTTGAAATTGTTTTTTTTAGCACCACCCATGGTTCGTTTACCGCAAGACTACGAAGAAGGTTTGCTCTTGGAACAAAATGAACCAATGAGATTAAAAGTGTCAGTTTCCGGTCGTCCGTTACCACAAGTTACTTGGCTTCACGACGGGGAAGAAATCCGGGGTGGTGATAGGTAAAATTTATTTTATATTTTGGAAATAATTATTAAAGATGTTTGAAGACACACATTCTTACTGATCATAAATAAAAAATAATAATAAATAAATAAAATTAATTTTGGATTGTAAATGTATAAAAATTATATTATACAATAAGTATATTATATCATTGGGCCAAATTTGACAATTTTACGGTTAGTTGAAAATTAATGGATGCGTTAATCAAATGTCACATTTTTATTTCAACTTAATGTTTACTAATTTTATCAGAACTTGTGTTATTGTTGACAATTATAAAAACAAAATATCTCATTAAAATGTATTATAACTACAATCGTATAATCACAATAAATATTTCTAAAATTCTAGGTTTGAAGTGATTCATACAGATAAATATGCCGCATTAAAATTAGCATGTGTTAAGAGATCAGATAGAGGGTGCTATCAAATTCAAGCAGTAAACCCATTGGGTGAACATATGGCTTCATTTTTGGTTACTGTTACGGGTACGTAAAATGCATTGAATAAAATGGCATTTAATAATAGTCAAATAACCACTATTTAATATTTATACAAAATAATTATTGTAGGTACTTTTGAGGTAAATGTAATTTTTACTTTTAGATAGACCTTCACAGCCAGGTAAAGTGCATGTATCCAAAACATCAGGTAAATCTGTAACACTCTCCTGGAAGCCACCAGAAGATGACGGAGGATGTAAAATTGGAAATTATATAATTGAGTATAATAGAGTAATATGACATTATAAACTATTTGGATAATCACGTTTTAATATTTAACACTGTGGTTCACAGGTTGGATGGGATATGTGGTTAAAAGCGTCGACCAGTAGACAACTTACGGCAGACCTCGACGATTTACTTGAGGGTTCGGAGTACAGATTTAGAGTAAAAGCAGAAAATCCTTATGGTATGAGCTTACCAAGCGATGTATCTGAACCAATATTCTTACCAGATATCAAACGAGGGTAAATTAGCATATTAAATGTTACGAGCATAATATTATGTATTTAGTAGCAATATTTACTTTTATTCATGTATTTTTTATACAGTATATACAAGCCAGTGGTCACACCAGCTCTCCTGTTCGAAGATGAAGAAAAGCTAATACAGATTCAAGAAACTGAAATGTTAGAGTACTTTGGTCGAAAATCAAAATCTCCTGAACCGTTGTCTAAAGCGAGAAAACTAAGCGTAGATGAGGTTTCACCTCCTGTACCAAAAAGACGGAAAAAAAAATCAAAGACCGATTTAAATAGCTCTGAGACGGATATTTACAAATCCTTTAGTTATTTAGACGTATCCGCTGAAACCTGGCAACAGCCAATTGAACAAAAGGACCATTGGGGCTTACCTCCTGGATTGAAGACAAATATTGGTAGCCAGGGAGATACAACAAATTCTCAAATAACACCAATGAATTATAAAACGAAAAGTATGCATTTAACATATATTATGAATATAATATTGTACTAATTAAAATTTTATGTGAATATATTTTTTTTAGGAAATTCAACAGATTCTTTATTACTTTTGAATTTCGAACTAGGATCAGCTCCACCCATTTCATTATCATCTCCAGAATTAGGTTCAGAGTCTGAAGGTTTTGAAGAACATTTAAGGAACTCTTACAGCTCCAGTGAACTTCTCTACGAACGAAATTTAAACAGGTTCAATGGGTATTCAAACGATGAAAATTTGTCATCCGAAGCTCAAAAAATTGCAATTTATGCAATGGATAGGAAAAACAGTTTAAGGCGGTCGCCTATCACTAGAAGATCAAATGATGGCTCTGAAGAAAAATCAATTTTTAGCGATTCAGATTCAGTTCATAGTGTCGTCGATATTTCTAAAAGAACAAATACAAGTAGTTTTATGTCGTTAGCGAACAGCATAGAAGAAGAAATCGTGGACGATGTCAAAAAAATAATCGGAGACGACGATACGGAACAGTCTACTTCATTTTCTGGTCTAGAGTCTGAGACGTCAATAGAATCTGACGATGATTATAATATGTCGGATAGGTCGGAAGAAAAGTTTACTAATTTTGGAAGTGGAAAACGAGCATTAGAACACAATACGTCAAGCGCTTTCTTTTCGACCGTGTATTATGACGACGATTACATGTCAGATCAGAAACTGTCTGACAGGGAACGGTCAAAGTCACCCGCCAAATGGGTAGAAAAGATCGAAGGAGAAGCATCGACTTCGGTCGCCATAGGCTCTGAAAATACTGAACGGAAACCGTCGATGACGACGGTAATTCCACCGTCCAATGAAGAGACTTCGGAAAAGTCTGACTCGATGTCACAAGACTCCTTAAATTACTCTAATGGATCGACTGATAGTGGTGAATATTCTCGACCGGATGACAACAAATCAGATACGGCTGAAATATCTACGGTAGAGACGTCAGTAGATGGGACTTATCGACCAAGGGACGGGATCCCCAAGTACATAATGTTGCCAAATCCGTTCTTCAAGGAAAATTTATCTGCGTCCGAAAATTCGGAGAGGGTGAAGTTCAAATTATCGTCAGACCCGATCGGTATCGTACCACCCGAGATACCGGAACGGGAAACCGGTGTCAGTAGTGGCGTCAGACCTTCGCTTCCAGTCATTACGGTTACGGAGACGAGCGATCGCAGCCCCAAGTCCGTGCTGAAGAAGATTTTTGTACCACCATTTTTTAGCAAACAGTCAAACGGGCCAGACCGCGACATGTACGATGACCAAGTAACCCGGAAGAAGTCTCCAGGACGTGATTCGAAGATATCCTGGGCAGCCAGTAATGGAGGTGACGCTATTGTGTCTCCAGTCATTACTGCTGATACCTGCACAAATAACAAAGACGACTCATCCGCTGACACTGATGCCACCGCTGTCGCTGAGATGATCGCTATTAGACATTACGGTGACATAGTGGAGCAGTACAGTGGAGTGGCCAGGAGACCTGTAGCCAAAACTTATTTGGACTTTGAACAGTTGAAAATGGCTGCAGCCATAGAATGCTGTGATGAACCAGTCGTTAGATTTGAGGATGGGCTGAGAGACGACTACGGAGAAGACGGCGACGTGGATGAATATTGTGGGGATGAAGAATACTACGACGAAAGCGGTGATTGTTCGTTGGCTACGTTGTCTGTACAACCGGAAGCTGAAATAGATCCGGTGACGTCCGGTGAATGGCTATCGGCCGTCGTGTTGCAACAGCCGGAAATGCCCGAGCCCAACGCGGTACCGTATTTGAAGATATTTGGTAACTTGTCGTTGGCCGTGTTTGGCTATTGGCTATATATGTGCAAAGATGAAAAGCTATCCGTACCTGTTTTTGGGTTTCTGTTGTTTCGATTCTTCAAGACACAAGTCTGGGACAGGATTTGATTTTTTGGTTATTTATGTACATAATATATATAATATTAATTCGGTAATTCATGTACCTACATACATTAATTACCGCTGTCCGCGACATATACATGCTCCAGATAAGTGGTTCAGATAAGTGTGAAATAGGAAAAGACAGGGTCAGCATGCTATATAATATGTCCAATATTCATAATGTTTAATATTTAAATATGTTTATTCTCTGTTTATATTATTTTATTGTTAATTATTATTTTTATTTTTACACTTAATGAGAAATGTAACAGAAATATTGTTCATGTTAGGTTATTGTTATTTTATACTGAACGTTATAAAATATTATGAACCAAATAAAAAATAATATTTTATATCCTGGGCGTTCGAGACGTTTGGTGTTGACCTGAAACACGTTTTTAAGCCAATTTTTTTTAAGGTGAAGTCTATAGCATTATCACTACTAGTTAACGAACACTGCTACATATTATTTAGAAAATAGTAATTATTTTTACTCCCCGAAAAATGGAATCATGTCGCATTCTCAAATAGTAACAGACAAAAATAATGTGTGTCATAATGCGTGACCGTGTGTAACTGTACTTGTAGCAATAATAATAATGGTAATAATTATAATTACGTACTTACGTGTGTGGGCAAAATAGATGGTGGTGCGGTATGGGGAAGAATATTGGCAAACGCGCGTAACATGATGTATATATACCTCACACAAATGAAAGGAAGTCGTCAGAATAAAATACGCTGAAAAAAAAACCCCGAAACGAAAAAGATGAAAAAAATAGAAACTACAACAAAAACTTTAAAATAGCCCAGTGCGTGATATAAATCGCAAGCAATATCGCTGTGCAAACTGCGCATGTAAAACCGATCCCCCTCTATGCGGTTTCGCACTCGGGCGGGCGTGGACACGGTCTCATCACGCGCGCTAAGAGATTCGGTCCGAAAACCCGTGTGCGCGTACACGTATTTCGACTATTAATTGCCGACGATAATACTAATATTAGTAATAATAATCGAAAAAATACTCATTATACGTTGGACACTCGAAACGTCGAGATCGCCGTAGTCGTCGTCGACGGCTCTCTCGGGTTCGAGAGTGCGTACGCTCGTGCCGGATGCGGAACGGTCGTGATAACAACGCAACACGTCAACATGTCGGTGCGACGAGGAATCAAAAATAAGGAATAGGCGACTGGCGGAGGCGGACACGAATCCTCAGGTAGAGTCCCCGTAACAATATGTGAAATGCCCACTAAATTGAGTCTACGTCATTGTTTTCGCCCGAATTACGTCCCGAACATATTACACGACTTTGCGATTATATTTTGTTGCTTCGACGCAAACAATTTGTTTCCCTTGTTGTTTTATACCATAATAACCATATTAGTGTCGGTACTACTACATCAACTAATGAGTCTTTGATCCGATATTGACTTCAGCGTTGTATGTTATTATCTAATGTTATATGGACTATGATAAAGGCTTATTTTTTATAATATTAGAGCCAGTGTAAAATAACGTTTTATTTTTGATTTTTAAGCATTTCACTTCACCATAATGCATATAATAGCAGTGAAACCCGCAGACAGAGTGGGTAATTCATTTCGATCTGAAACCGATGTACTTACCTCGATTAACCAAGTGACCACTGACCAATTAGGGATGACTAATTTCTGATATTGTTAAAACATCGTTTCTTGAATTAAAAAAATCTTGACGTGTGCTCTAATTTTTCGGTTTAAAACTTTGGGTTATAGAAAAATTCTTACAAATTCTTAAATAGGATGAACTACAAAATAAAATAAAATTGGAGATTCATCTGTAATAAAGTTTGACGTTAGTTGTCGAAAAAGTTGGGTTTTTAATATGAACACAAAATGAGTAGTAAATGGGGAAAAGCAACATCTGACGAAACGATAGGCGATATTATAATGTAAAACACGGGAAACATAGGCGCGTCCGCCAGCGGGTCATTTATTTTTAAATCGTCGATTTCCATAGTCCGCCCAAGGATGTTTTGTGCTTAAATTTAGAGTCGGCGTGCACGACAAACTAACGTTTCAGTTTTTACACGGCGGCGGATTTTCGAGTCCAAATAATAATAATAAAAAAAAAAACACAATGCTGATGTATTATTACCTGTTGTGATTTTTATTTTTGAGTTCGATAAATAATCACGATTATAATTGTACCGTTTGACGTCAGGATCGATCCAGGGATGGACTACTTGGCAGAAGGCCGCCAAAATGATAACATGACCACCCCACCACCTTTCGGGCAGGATTTTAGAATATTCAGTTGCTGAATAATCGGTCAATAATTTTTAAATCTGATATTTATTTTGTTTACCACCATTTCTTTTTTCACTTTTGCAGGCCTAAAGAGTGGCATAAAGTTTTTAGTACCTATACACAACTTCTGAAGACGAAATGTTTATTAGCAAAGTTTCTCCAAGTGTGATGAAAATGCACGGAGAAATTTAAGAAAAGTACAAAATTATTATAAATACCTAACATAATCGATGTTTGTGTTCGATGATTTATCATAGATTTCAATATTTCAACATAAAACGTAACACAATAAAACTTCAGAATAATTTTTTTTTTTATATTATAAATAATATACCTACACAATAATAATATCACCGTCGTGTTTCCGAAGTCTCTATTAACATTTTTGTGATGATATTAAATTTTGCTTTGTTAGAGATTTTTTACTTTTACACCTTTTTATTATGTCGTCAATAATTATGTACTGGCATAGATTCTATAGCCTGTTACTCGTTATAGGTTAGGTATGGGTCTTTCGATTTTATTCCGGCTGCAATATATTTATTGCTGACTGCCGAGCTGTCGATGTTGTCGGCCAAAAAAAATACTCTAGTTTCCGTGGAAAACGAACTATAATATATAATTTATAAATATATACAAATATACAATATATACAGTATATATAGTTATTACACGACTTGTTCAATCATTTGCCTTATAAATAGATCGGACCACGCAGACGTTTATATAGTTTTAGGAACGGAATGATTATATTATCTGTTCTAAGCGTGGGGATAGCACACCTATATGCGTATTAATATTAATATTATATGTGCGATAAAAATAACGATGTTTACCGCCAAAAATAATAGTATCAAAGCATGGGTAAAATACATGAGAAACTGCATAGAACGGTGAAAATGATTAAGTATATAATAGTTTAATGGGTTAATTACACGAATGAAGCATATGATTTTTAAAGGTTATCGGAAATTAGACCTAGGTTTTTGTGTCTATAAGCTCATAACGTCATTGCTTTTTGTGGTACCCATTTAAATGACACAATGTAATATATTTAATATTATTTTGTAAAAAAAAAAATAATTCCAAAAGCAACTCGTGGTTTTACACTGTGGCCCTATACTATTTTTTTTTACTTAGATGTTATTTATGTAATTAGTATATGACGTAATCAAAAAACTATTCGATTTTCATGAGCCAAACTGAAATTAGCATTTAAGAGTATTGAAACCTTACAGAGACCTATGCTAGGGATTGTAAGTAGAAGCTGAAAAGTTAGAATGTTCTAAAAGTCTCAAGACATTTATTGATATAATTTGTATTGAAATCGGCTCAGTATAGTTTCTGTCATTATCACTTACAAACACACAAACTATCCAGCTTTATAATATTAGTCTTTACTCTTTACTCTTTAGTATAGATTTTAGAGTATAGATTATGCGTATAAGTAATTATAAGACTTTTTGAGTGATTTAAAGAATGACAAGAAACTTTAAGAAGTGTATGTATGTACTATGCATACTATGTTTTAAAGAATATAGAAGAAAATATCTTTTTATCATAGGTAGGTTTATTCATAGTTGTATTTTTGTGCATGAATGCATGATTCAGAAGAGTAAAAAAGTTTTAATTAGTTATAAGTATATTAGTTTTATGGGTGATATACCTATTATAATTTATACATATAAAACACTTCTTGTTAATGTAAAAAACGGCAAACCATATTATCAAATGTGAACAAATCTCGGTTCTATATTTTATTGAGTATTAAATTAAACATTTTAATGAGTTTGGGTGAAAAAATTAGTTTGCTAAACATTTAATGAGTTTAGACGGAGCATAATAATTAATTCTATAGTGAAATTACTACTGCAATGCATATAATTTCTAAAACAGAAGTTAATTAAGAAAAAAAAATTAAACATAAACATAAACATAATACCTACATATTTTGTGATTTAATTTAATAATTCATTTTGGATGAAATTTGTTTGAATCTATATTGATTAATGATCATGTCATAATTCATGTTATAAATTATACTATTCCTATCTTCTATACCTACTTTACCTATCTCAAATTAATTAATACATAATATAACTATTTTTAATCTTACCTTTATTTTTTTAGTTTTATGTAGGTAGGTACCTAAATATCAGTAAAAATAACTTATTGGTTTCATATTGTTGTTATGACATTAAATATTTGAATGTCAAAAATTGGCATCATTATTAATTTATTTTCATATCTCAGTGTTGCTATAAATACCTTCTAAAGAAACGTGAAATAATGTAGTTTTTTAATTTATGAATAGAAAGTTGACAAAATGTATATTTTTATGCATGTTATGATTAAGTGATAAATTCAAATTGTTTGAAAATCATTAATTAATTTTAGTATAATGAACATTATGTAATATTTTATTGTAAAAATGGTAAAATTTTGAGTATGGTGATTATAAATAACTATTAAATACCTACTAAATATTTTATATATTTATTATTAATTTTAAAGTTAATTAATTAAAAAGTTGAAGTGACTCAAAAATTAAAATGTTGGAAAATAATTCAAAAAAAAGCTACCGTATATCTTTGACTATGTTATTCGTCCTACCCACTATTTATACAAATATAGCAAAAAATAAGTAATAAACTAATAAATAATAACTATATGGGCACAACCCTTGAATGATGCGTTGTGACTACCAGTTACGAGTATGGACAAATAATTTGGTTTTATTACATTATATTTAAATATAATTTTTAACAAATTTCAATGTAACCACACATATATTTATGTAATTTTATTTTTTTTTATAAAATATATAAAATTATTATTTTCAAAAGGTAGACAGTTTTAAATATCTAAGACTCGAAATAAATAGCCGTAATGATTATCATGAATAAATTCGAGAAGGCACGTATTAAAGGTGGAGACTGATGATATTTTGAGCTTAATAAAACCTCAGAGTCTAAGTCATACCTACTATCAAAAATATTGAAACAGCGATTATACAAGGTTTTAGTAAGACCGGTAATTCTGTACGTGGGTGAAAAGTAGCCAACTTAAGAAAGCTGGCAGTTTTAGAATGGAAATTCCTCTAGTGAATTTTTGTACCGAAAAAAAAAAAAAAATGATACCAAATGAGTACAAAATAAAGTCGAATTGTGAAATCAAAGAACATTAGGAAGAATAAGTATTGATACTAAAAGGAAAAATAATAAGGTGGCTGGGATTTGTGTATAGATCAAAATATTGTATAACAAGTGACGCACTAAACTGGAAGCCAGAAGGTAAGAGAGCATTGGCAAGCCAAAGAAAATATAGGACAGACGAACTTAATCAGAAGTTCCGAATACTTGGGGGTAAATAACCTGGAAGAGATCGCATATAATAGAGATCAATGGAGAAAACTGTGTGGAGCAGTTATGAGACTTAATTTCGTATAAAACTGAAGAAGATAATATTTTAACAAACATATTTTTTTCCATTATTGTAATTTTAGAATAGATTAAAGTTGCGGCCCGCGTGTGTGAGGTGGTGGTGCCTGGTGGTGCCTTAACATTCAAAATACAGTATCCAAATAAATATGAAACGTTGAATTGTCTTCATTCTGCCAGGCGTGGTGTGCAGGAGTAATTAGAAAACAAATGGAGATTATCGTTGCGTTTTCTGCAAACATGTCTCGCAGTTCATAATTATTTCCGTTTTATTTTATTTTTAAGTACCTAATCGTTATTGACTCACTAGACACTAATTATCGACACTTAATAAATATTTGTATTGATCTTTCAATTACTCTAAATGCAAATTAAACAAGAAATGGTTTCATAAGAAATAGATTTTAAAATTAAAATTTTAATATTTTAAATTTGAAAGATTGATACTTTATAATGATAAATTTATTCATAATCTAAGATAAACTTAATACTATAAACGCTTATTATTGTCTTAATATTTTCAAGATCGGTGTATCCAAACATTCCAACAGTTTATTTTATATATCTAATATACTATATTACAATATCATTCAATTCCCGTTATCCTATCCGTTATTATTTTTTTTTCCGATTTGGTTTTGGTTTTGGATATTGTTACTTATTTTAGCCGATTTTGATTGCCGTTTCGGATATCAGTATTCATTTATTCCGATTTCGTTTTTGATTTTGAATATAGGTTTTTATTTTTTGCGATTTTGTTTTCAGTTTCGATATGATTTTCGGGTTTTAACGGTTTTAACAAGTATCCTAAATCGGTATCCAATATCCGTTACAAGGGCCGCTGCTAATACTTAATATAATATGTGTTCCACTTCAACGAACAACTCTCTGCTCGTTCACTCCGTGTGAACTGTGACGGAGTTTTAAAACCACACATATAGGTAAATAGATGTCGCTGTTATAATATTACTAAATGGCGAATGTTTGCCTGTTTGGACACCTACACGCAAACTGTTGTACACTAGCTACGATTGTTGGTGACTATTAATTTGACAGTTCAAATGCATTGTATTTGTAAGTTCGTGTTCAAAAAATAATAAAATGTTTTTATTTAAAACCCACTTAATGTATATTATATAGTGTATAAGCAGTACTCAATATATATATATATATACTTATATATATTTATGTGTATTTTTATAAATTATTGTGGGTTAAAAACATACATTTTTTTCTTACACATAGTCTTAAAAGTTTTGATGTAAAAAAACAATTATATTCTGCAGACTATGGAAGTACCTCAACTTTATTATAGGTACTTAATAACGTCTGAGTGAACACATTTAATGACTTAGTTTCGTAATCTAATAAATAATGTGGATCGACACAATGATGAGGTCATCATTGTTGTCTAAAAAAAAATAGTGACGTGGACGAAAGCCAAGTGTTAGGAGTGTCTATTTGGTAAAAAAAACATATTGTCATCCCTCCAAGTTACATAGTTTAACCGGAGAAAATACTTAGGTATGTGTTTTAGAATGTCAACAAACTATAATGATACACAAATACACAATATAAATTATACACTACGCAAATACATTTTAGTACACACTGTATGTTTACTATTCGAATAACATGTAATACATATTTTAATACCTACAATTATTTTTTTAAATATCCTATACGCATATATTTTGTTTTTATATTATTATTATTGTTTATTTTTTTTTTATTTGTATTAAAACTAAATTACAGAGAAGCTGCCAATTCTATAGTTTTATTACTTTAAATATTATTGTACAGAGGATTTTCTGGATATGATTTATATGGGTCTAATTGCTTATAGAGTTATTATTTATCAAAATAGATTACTTTAAAGATACATAATAGTTGTGATCTTTAAAGTATAAAGTTGTCCTGCTTGGCGTTGCTCGAGCCAAAAATTTGTTATCGTTTTCCAAATATATTTAAAAAAAAAAAACTATATTCCATGTTTCTACTAATATTATAATAACAATATAATTTGTAAACAGTCACAACTATTTAAATAACCAAAAAATAAATCAGTGTGAGCTACCTTTATCTAACTACACGGGTTGAAAAAATAAGGTATACAACAACATCCAAGTCTATTAACTTCGAAAATATAAACATCTATTTTTAGCAGTACTTGTAACCCGACTTCACCCATGAAAAATATAAAACATATAAAATAAATAAATATAAAGGTGTATCTTGGTTTTGGTGTACCTCAGTTCACGGATAAATTGGTGTCGGTGTACCTCAGTTTGAGAATTAATTCGGCCGAGTTGGACAATTCACCTGTGATGGCATACTGGATATACTTGGTATAAATCGAATATGATTCAAAATATTCTCTAACACTTCTTGACATCTTTTTACAACTATTTGAAACTTCCATCGTAAATCTCAAAATCCTTGGGTGAGCATCTCTTCAAAATGCGAATTTCGGAAAATCCTTTCTTGGTGAACTATTATACGATGGTTCGAAGACACTATGAAAATATCAAAACACTAGTCATATTATAGCTATCATAGTTTAGGCTCTATGTCGATCAGTCATTCAGTCAATAGACTATATATATTATATAGATATACTGTATACTTAAATATGTTAGTGATCTGTGATCGTAATTTACTGGAGATACGTAGTAAAACAGAAGATTGAATTAATTGTTGTCTAAAACATTTCATTTTATGTACTTTAAAAGTTTCAAGTAATCACAAGCATTATTTTTAAAATATAAAATATAACTAAAATTGTTATAAGTACTCCGTTTAAATATCTAATTTTGTCTGAATTTGAACTCGAATTATAATATTTTATAAATATATTTTTAAAAAACTGTGGTTATAGATGATTTTTAAATGTTTTGTTTACAGTATTAAATACTGACTTGTTAAAAGTATCAACTAGATACATATATGCTTTCTCGTCAAAAAATACACTGAACTGGAAAATCGAAGCATCGTTTCTACTTATTGTGTACACTCACAAAAACAGAAAAAACATCATTATTGTAAGATCAACGTTATCAGGATCTAAATATTTTTTTATCAAATATTCATTATTTCATTAAGCTATAAATTGTCAATGAATATTATTTATGCTTCAGGAAGTGAACTTGTATTTAAAAAAAAAGAAGATTTTTGAAAAAGACAGGCAGTGATTGTATTGCTGTATAAAATAAATACCCTGTCCATATAATAATAATTGTAAGTATAATATTCAAAATCCAGCGAATAACCATGCAGTTTATGCCATGACAAAACAAATAAAAAATATTTGCTAACTTAAACTGAATGTAATGTACTTATAATAGGTAACATAAGTATTTGAAAACGAATTATTCACGATGATATTCGTCACTGTACATAGCATTCACATAGATCGTTTATGAATTGGCCAATTGGCGTAGGTAGCTAATCTACGTTATGCATTTCCCGCGATCGAACAGCCGAAGCTATACATGTGTAGGTATATAGCAGAACGTCGCGGACGATCGAGAAATAACTCGCCACCTCGTGACCTACAGCTAGCGGTGTCGTGTCGCGACCCGCTGCCGCGTTTATGGAGACCTGTGGCATTCACCTGCGACCTGCTGCTGCTCCTGTTTTCTCGGTACTAATACGCCTTTGGCGGGAGATATAGGGTCGACAGTGAGAATTTCGGGTGGTAATTTTACTACCGTCTGGCGGTAGCGAGTTACCATATAAAACGAAGACCATTTTTGAAAAAAAGTCGACGGTTCTATTGTTGAATAAAATAACTTCCCGGTGACTGCACTAATTATATTATGTTGAATCTTGGAAGGATACAATTCAAAATATTTTCTAACCTAAAGTAAAAAAAAACGTATAAATTATCGTATAGATATTTGGGACCTAGTTGTTATTACTCAAAACAATAAATTTTATTGCATTCACGATGATAATACGCGTACTCGTTACGGCATACAATTCAGATATATATAAATATATATATATATATATTTTTTATTGAACTAAAGCCCGGCAACAATGGCCATTGGCTTCAGATATATATATATATATATGATATCGATCTTTATACCATTATAACATGTCTTGGCGTAGGTACCTACCGCCACGTTATGCATTTCTCGTGATCGCACAAATGCAGCTGCAGCATACGCGCGTACGAATAGGAGAACGTGCAGCGGGCGCGAGCGAAATAACTGTCGTCACCTCGCGACCTACAGGCCACGGCTCGCGGTGCCGTGTCGCGACCCGCTGCAGCGTTTATGCAGACCGGCGGCAATCACCTGCGAGCTCGAGCTATACAAGCTCCTGATTTCTGGGTTCTCATACACCTTTGGCGGAATCGCCGTGGCGGCGGTGGGAATTTCGGGCGGCTGATTCGCCGATTTCGGATGTACGGAGGCGGACGCGAATGAAACGCCGGCCCGCCAGCAGGGCGACGTGGTTGCACATTATTTTTATTATTATTATTATTATTATTATTATTATGTTGCCACCGTCGCCGCGCCGGCGGAACGCGCTGGCGACCCAAAAATAAATTCCGTGTGTGGGTCAGTCCGCCGTCATCGGTCCAAACGTTTGGACCCGTTCCCGCTGAGTCCCCGCCGCCGCGCGGTATCACGCGAGTCTCGCTCGGGCCGGAAGGGACTGACGCGGCGTACCGGGTTTTCCCTATCTGCGCATCGTACCGCAGTTGACCACTTTTTGTGCGTTCGGACATGGCTGCAGGGCGACTGGTCGGCGTCGGCTCGGCCGGAGTTTGGTCGCAATAATAACGTTCGCTAGTCGCAATTGCATCATTGTCCTCACGACCTTGCGACAATAATATTATAATATAATTATTGTTATTATGGGAAACAAATGCTGCAAAAATCAGGCGTCCACGTACAGTAGCGCCAACGCTACCATCAGATCGTTCTCGTCGTACAACTCTTCGATCATCCGGTAAGTGCGATCGACGGATGCAGTCGTGGTGCAGCAGTCTTGCATTCCGAGATGTCACGATTTCGGAGCGTGAAACCGGTGACCGGTACAACTCGTGTACCATGTGATATGCGAGAAATGAATAAATACGTTTTTGAAATTTCCATCGCAAAAAATAAAGCTGTATACGAAAGTATTCACACTCGTTTTCAGTCGCCTTCGCCGTTATGATATTATGTACGTGCACTTTCTAACGTTATCTCGTAAAATCGGAAAAGAATAATATATTTTTTAAAAAGGCTCGAAACGAGCATCGGTTAAGAATTACAATTCAATGTATTTTAATAAATTTTTTTTACACAGTTCCTTAGAATATTGTGTATACAAATATCTTATTAAGCTACAAACTCTTTGTGTATAGTTATTTTTGGAATGCATAAACACACAAAAATTTGTATCATGACTACATTCATTTTGAATTGTATACTTGTAATATCGATTTTTCTTTTAAATAATCTAAAGTAACCTGTGGTAAAAGTTCTTAAGTCGGAATTCATGGAACGTCTTATGTATGTATCAGCTAGGTAGGTATATCAGATAAACGGACTTTTAAATTTATTATTATTTTTAACAAGTGTGTGTTTGATTATCCTGGTTTTCTATCCTCTATAAATAAAAAAAAGTCTTTGTAATTTCCTGAAGAGTAATATGACGTCACGTCGTTTATACGTCGATGCGACACTCTAGAAGTTGTTAGTTAAAAAAAAATTGTAGTTTTTTTTTGATTAGCTTGAAATCAAAACGTATAAATTTCAATCTCCAGTCGCTATTGCCTGCACTCGTCTGACTGCTGTAACATATTACATATTTATTTGTAGACCACGAGCAGTGAAAATATACGATTTATAATCAAGAGTGTAGACAGAAATATAATTTCAACAACCGATGCGCGACAACAGCTCTGCAACTAACGTGAAACGTCTGTTAACTGTTTATGAGCGACGCCAGAAAAAAAATCAGTTTTTTCGATACAATAACTGCTTGCAGAGTGATGGACACTGGTCCATATAAACTTTTTATTCTAAAAAACAAACTACTTATGTTAACAGAGGGTTTTTTTGTGTCACAAGAAAAGGACTTTTTCGATCAATTTAGACAAATCGCTCGTCACTTTATCATTTAGATTTTGTGAAAATAAGAAAAATATATTGTAATTTTACATTGTTTTGTTTTTTATGAACACTATTTTTCCCAATACTGCATTGATTATTTAAAGGGTGCTTCAAAATTTGAAACTTAAAAGTTATAATCAAACAATTAAACATAATAATTTTACCGTTTCTGGAATTTTTAGGCTTTTAACTGTTAGGTACTCTATTTCATATTCCTAAATATTTTAATGCTAATAGTTTAAGTGTTTTATACAACAGGAATAGTTTAGAAATAGGTGGTAAATTTACTTGACTTATTTTCATTTTCATTACTCCATAAATCTATACTTTAAATGCTAAACAGGTTATAAATGAATGAATTCAATAGAAATATTATGATGTACACATCTTTTAAAAAATATTAATTTACGGATTGCAAAATTTAAAAATGGTAAAATCAGAAAACCTGAAAAATATGTTTTTTAAAAATGTTTTTCGAAATTATAAAAATATATTATATTATTTTTTATGTCAACTGACAAAGCGATATTTTTCGATAGATTTATTAGAACCACACTAGGCATTTTATGTCATGCTCGTACTAAATGACTAGATTTGATCTGCTGAACTTTTAGAAGGTTTAAATTCCAATGGGATGTAATTAATTCAAAACAACTCAACATATATTTTGCAGAGAGTATTGTTTTGGGGCGTACTTTGATGTGAATACTTAATTCAAGTATAACTCTGTTGTAAAATAATATTATCGTAAAAAATAGCTACTCATTTTTCGGTCTACAATTATATGAATTTGTTAACTGGTACGCAAACAAGCTTTCTTAAAATTCCATTATTTTATATTTTAAGATTTTATTTTGTAATATCGATTAACAAATCTACAGTAATAATATTTATTTATTTTTATTATTATTATTTTACTACTTACTATTTTTATTAATTATTTTTGAACAATCAACAACATATTCCATAGGTATTATTAGCCTACTTTTCAGTTACTTACCTATAGTTAAATACAACCATGTAGGTTATAATATCTTTAAGCTAACGATACTTTTTTTGTTATTACAATCTTCAACTGAAGTTAGTTTTATGAAAAAAATTATATATTGTATACTGTTTCAGAATTTTCTTTCAGATTTTGAGTGCTTGTAATGGGGATTTTACGAGCCTTAGTGTATTTAATATTTAAAATATTAAGGCAGTTAATCGCTTTGTGTTTGACCGTTAGGTTTAATTTTTATACAACACAATGCCTACTTTGTATGCCTACTTAGTATTTTAGCTTGCATTTCAGAATATCATCGATGTTTAACAAAATCAGAATATCACTTGGGTATGGTTTTAATAAAAGTAATTATCTAGTTATTAAATAGTTTTAATTCACATTTACATTACACCTAGTAGTACTTCATGAAAAAAACACTCACAGTTCTACGTTTTTTCATATCTCTGTTGAATGTAGATTTGCATAATGAAAAAGATTCAAAAGTATTATTTGTGTAATATTGAATGTACACGTATAATGTATCTACCTACTAATATTATAACCATAAATATCATCAATCTAGTTAACGTATTAATACAAGTATAAATTATTATTTTTAAATCCGTTAATTTGTAATAAAAGTCATACATACAGAGTGATATGGATTCTAAATCGATACTTGTAAAATACTGTTAAAATTTACTTGCACAATCGCTCCTCTATAAGAGCATTTCAAGTCTAGAATTGGTTCAATCAGGTTTTTTTTAGTATATAAAATACATTAAACTGACTTTGAATTAAATGAATCTTGTGGTATTTTTTAAATATAAAATAATGAAACCATAACATATGTATTTAATACTTGACATATTACCTATATGTTATAAATGCAACTTACTGCCATACCGGAGTAGTTACAAATATAGAATAGAATTGAAAATTTAAACTAGGTATATTTTGTATAATTTTAGTAATATTATGGTTTAGGTACCTGTAAGTAATATATACAGTAATTGTTAATAATTTAATCGCCAAAACAATTGTACTCAGCGTTAAATTTGAAACTTAATTTACCTGATCTGTACTCCATACTTCTTTTGTGAATGATATTTGATGGTAGATTATGATTCGTTTTTATCAGAAACACCTACACATTTATTTCTGAAGGTTTTCTTTTCGAATATTTTACCTGCGTCAATGTTATAAAATATAATCCAAGGAAATCATTTAGCGAATTATATTATTAGACGTTTTGTTTTAATTATTACATTTGTACGTGACGCAAAATCGATATTGCTAATAATTGCAACTGGAACGACATAAATAACTAATAAGACATCGCATTTATTATTTAGCTTATAATATAGTACATATTTATTATTTATATATAACTAACGGTTAATGGCAATGCACAAATTGTTTTTATTGTGTTGTAATTATTTTGTACTCTGTCAGATGGAATTCAATAAAATATTTTCAAAAATAACAGTCCTAATTCGAAGCAACATGATTAATTATGCTTATTTGGCATTAGCAATAGTTGTGAAATACTTGTTATATACCTTTACGTTATACATTTCGAGGATTTTTAATTAGATCGCTTAAACTAACTCAGTCGCAAACTCTCAAGCAATTTAACGCAGTTTACTGTCGTGCGTTTTGTTTTTAATTAAGTACCTACAGTGTTGCGAAACGACATTCTGGTGGCATATACTACAACTGTTAAGTATAAGTTTATGATTATTAGGTACACATTTGCACAGCATAGATGACATTCCGATTATATTCTCTCGCCATGCTTGTATAGTTGCCGTTTTGGAATTTGTGGGCATAAAAATAATGTATATGTACTCGCATGACACATTAATCTCCATCTACAGAACAACAACGACGACGACGTTGGCTTGAAAATAGTCTATTTTTAGGAATCATAATAATAATTGTACCCAGCATCGGGAACGTCTCTGATCACTGTCGGACTTTTTTTAAATATTTATAAAAACCGTAAACAAACGACTCCCTCATGGCCTCACGAGTCATGACAACTTGGACGGTCTAAGTGTTATATTCTACTGCAATTATTTATAAGAACGCTTTTTTAATTAATCAATTAATTTTTTTAGTCAAATAAGAACTTTTACAAAACAAAAGAATGTATTTTCTCACTATTATTGAAGACAGAATTATTATAATATTAACGTAATTCCCAATGCCGTAGAAGTATGAAGATCAGGTATGTGAATAAAAATTAAAAATAAAAATTTAGAATCCCAATGAAAGGCATTAATAAAAAACAGCCTATCCCCTGCTTACTACAATTTTTTTTGCTTAAAACTTTAAATCTAAACAAATTGTAAACTCGTATTAATTCGTTTTCGATATTATTATATTAAAGTTTTTAAAGTAATTATTTGAGCAAATAAAGTATCAATATCATGTTTTTTCAAAAAATGGACGCAGGTTAGGTCATGTAGGTAATGATAACCAAAACGTCTCCCTCCATTGACATTTTCACTATAACTGCTCATCGTCTGACCAAAATATAAACCTGATAAATTGTCTGATACATATATTTCAAATGGCAAAGTTCACAATGTGGATGAATAATGTTTTCTAGGTCTGGAGGTAGCTCAAAGCTTTTATAATGATTTATGATACATGTCAATTCAATACCTTGGAAAAGTAATACTAATTATTCTTCGATTTTCAACTTTATTTCATTATTGACCATGTAATCAAATTTAATAATTTTAGTATCTTGCAAATATGTTATAAGACTGACAACAATGTGTAATAGTTGACACTTAAGAAAGATTAAATTTTTAAATGTTGAATGAATATTATTTTAACTAAGTTTGAAGAGCGTTTGCAACCGCATTGTTACGATTACCTTTACCTTTACCACCCGTGTAAGATATGACATATATAATATTTTGACTCTTGTTTTTTGGATGGACACCCGTCTGCCAAATCGAGAACAACGGTCGTCAATTATTATTGTTGAGGTGGGCCCGCCGTCGTGACAGTTCACGTCACTTGTGATTGGTTCGGGCCACCGCGTTATTTTTAGGTTAGTTTATTTCCGTATGAGTTTCATTAACGCCACAGCGACCGGCAGTCGAAAAAATAAGGCGCACACCGTCCCGCGATAATCATGGTGTAGGTATATTAAGATCAAAATTGTCAATAAATTATTTATTATAATATTATAAAATGCCCATATGGCCGATAACATTACCGCGATAAAATGATCGTTTTGTTTTGGTATTTGGTGCGATTATTGTTCACGGCGTTCCGCATACCAAAACCGTAAGTAAATAAACACTGATAGATTTATAATCATCTTCGTACAACATTAGACGTTTGCACTATTATATAATACAATACTTACATTTACCCTACAATATAATATCCTACTTTAACAATATTGAGTACCTATACCGTAAATATAAGAATGTATAATAATTTATATTTTAAATTTAAAAATAATTATCGTCCTTGACCCCTCTGACAAAAATGTGTAATGTGTATTTAATATTTTACAATCTATGAGAAGTTTAAAGGTTTTGTGGAAAAAAAATAACCAAACTGGCCAATCCTTTACCTATTGCGTTTTTAAAATAATATTCAATTTTATTTATACATGTTTTGTTGTGTACATTTTTAATGGAATGTATATTAAGCACGTAATTTAAATAAATTATTTTGGCATTAAACATTGTGTCTTGACACAAATAAAATAGTAAAAAAATATGTATACAATTGTACAAGCTTTATTAAAGAGCGCTTTTTTTAACAACATTGCAAACTTATTTCATTTTATAGGTCGGGCGGAAGTCATGCAATCACTTTTGGAACCTCTACTCGTGCTGGTGACTCCTTGACCACCCTCACCATGAAGTCGAGTAATCACTCGGATGCCGGTAGTAAAGATTACCGGGGTGGTTCATCGAGTACCGTTGGCCAAGAAGATCTGATTCCAATATTTTTGAGACGCCTTAACGACCTCAACATTAGAGTCGGAACCAGAACTAGGTTTTTGATCGAGCTCGACGACGCTACGGGTGTTCAGGTGGGTATTTTACGCGATTGAAATCAAAAATAATATATAATAAAGAATATAACCAATTATTGAAAATGTTCACATATCGTTTATTTGTTTTGTTATTCGTTGTTTTTTCTCAATAGTTTCCCGGAGTATGGATTGGTATTTGTTAACGATAACTCGCTAATTATTTCATGTTAAAAGTACTGGTTTTATTTTCCCTATTACAACAGTGACGGGGTTAAAGCTATATAGTCTTGTGTTGCACCGTTCGTTGTGCCGAATTTATAAACAAACTCGTTGTTGTAGACGAGGCACGTGATGATTTGGTCCGTCTAGTATAAAAATAAACAGTACTGCGCAATGGCCACATGACACTACAGTGATCTAAAAAATTAAAAAAGTGGCATTTTTTATAACAAATATATAAAGCATTGTTTCTACTAATTTAGGGAACATTTTGAATGTTGGCCTATTATTATAGAGATAATTAGGGTTGACGTGGTGAAATATCATGCATAATATCAAGGCTATGCATTAACGCGTTAATAAGTTAAAGTTAAGTTAATTTAACTTTTTAACTTAATAAGTTATTTTTTTTTTATGTTCATTAACTTAATTAATAACTTTAGGAGCATTTAAATTAACTTTTAATTAACTTGAGTTAATTTTACATTTAAACAAGTTAAGTTAATTTTAATTTTAATTATTATGTAATGTGTTTTCAATTTTTTTAATTCATTTAAAATTTAAATACCTATATTATGAAATTACGAATATTATCAATGCCTGTTATTTTGTCATCGTCGCCAGTTGGTGGTTTTAACTTATAGCTACAGATTTTCCTATGAATTATTATAAACTATTTTGGTAATATTATATTTGTTTTATACATGATTATTATTATATTATACTTATTATTAAGAATTAATATCTATATAGAAGATAACGCTAGACGGACTAGACTGTTATGTGGTAATAGTGTAATACCCCGTTTATTTTTGTATAATTTATTATTAGTTCGACGTTTTCGTCGATTTCTCCTAAATCTAGAATTCCTGCATGGACGCCTAGTGACTAGTGGTGGTAAAACCATGTTTCTATATTCGATATCGATACATATTATTACATATCTGTTACAACTACTAATACTGTCATTTCCAGGTTTTATTATAATATTATATTAGTCCGTGTCACGATGAAAAAATGAAAAATATCTTTAATCGCGGTTCGTGTTCTTGTCTTATTGATAATCTAACAACCCATACAGGCCTACCGCTAATTATCGTGTATTAGTAATAACTACTAATAAGTATTCAGTATTCAGTAATCACTGTATGAGTATAAAAATAAATACGCTACTCAGTATTGTACTCGCCTTTACTTCGACTTCGACTAAAATATAAAGACGCGGTTAGGTTAAACTAACGCGACCATTTTCTAGTTTGTACAATCTGGTATCAGTCTACATTTTCCGTATAGTACTGTTAGCTTTTTGAACACATAAAATAATAATAGTTCCTTGGTGTAATAACATGAACAATTTTAGGTACGAATATTTTTACAGGAATAAGTAAGAATATGATATAATTCTTAGGAAGCTTAGAAAAATTAAAAATTAATAAAATCATATGAAAATATTGTCTGTCATTTATCATCGTTTATTATCGAGCAGGTCCGTTGGTACCATAACAACGTAGAGGCTGACAGTGAAAGGTACCAGTACATACACGAAGGAGGGTTTTATTGTTTGGACATTGTTCCTGTGACGTTGTTCGACGAAGGTCTATGGGTGTGCACCGCTCAAAATTATGCCGGGAAATCTTCAACTGCCGCTCATTTATCGCTAACCGGTTAGTATGGAGGGGAACACTATTCCTCAAATTTTTCATCATCTAAATCCAGTCTTGTAAATGATACTAATTTTTTTTTTTTGTTACTCAGAATATCTATTAGAATAAATATTCTTGGCTTTGTATTCTTGGATTTGTTTAATATTTTATGAATACTAAAAACATACGTTTAAAACATTTCGAACACACACAAAGTTTCAGTGTGTGAATATTAATCTTAAAATTTCAAAAAACTAATTATTTCTCTTAAATCTATTTTTACAGATACAAACAATTTTTTTATAAAATATTTTATTACAAATAATAATAATAATAATTAGTAATCAATACAATTATTATAATTATTATTTATTTTATTAAATGTATGGATATTAAATATTTTTAACAAAATATAATTTAAAGAATATCTACGTATTTAATTAAGCTAATTAAGCTAATTTATCTTAAATATATTAAACATTAAATTTGAATGCAAACAAGTTACTCGAATACTTAAAAAGACTGTTTAGATCTGTCTAAAAAATATACTATTCTAATGTGATGCTGTTCTACAGTTCCGAAAGCGTTCAAAAAACCAATTTTCGTTGAGCAGCTGAAGGCAGTGCTGACTCAGCGTGGAATCGTCTCACTGGAGTGCAAGGTGATCGGCGTCCCGACGCCCAAATTACGATGGTACAAAGACGACAAGGAGATCAAAGCCGGCGACATATTCGCGTTAACGGCGAATTCCGAAGAAGACTGCTTGGGCATTTACACGTGTGAGGCGGCAAATGTCATGGGCACCGCGCTGTCTACGTCAAAAATACAAGTGACTCACACGCCACTTGACGGAAACCACGACGCAGACAGGTATGCGGTAACGATGAGACTATATACGTAAATAGGGTACACGTTTGTTACGACAAAAGTTTATTTCGTTTTAACTTTTAATTCAAATGTGTTTTTCAGTCTCATACCATATGGACCGCCACCGAAGTTCTCGAAATTCTTGAAAAATGCGTCCGGTAAAGTCGGCAGCGTATTGTTTTTAGAATGTCAAGGTAATGTAGAACATCGTACTACATATTTAAATGTATAAATTAAATGTATACTACACAGTGACAAAAAAAATATATTTGAAATACTGACAAAAGAGAGGACTCGAAATTAGTTTTAACATTTAAACAAAATATAAGAAAAAAAAAAGTATAAATAGGTACCTATAATTCGATAAATTTTCATTATTTTAAACATTTTTTAGTCTAGTTTACTGATAATTCATAATCATCTAAATAAAACTATTTTTTTCTAACTATTTTTTCTTATGTCAGTGTTTCATTGTTCGCCGATTTGTTTTTTATTTCTGACAACCAACAAAGATTTAACACATGTGATTTTAATATTATCATATTTTATTTTAGTGGAAGTTCCACCGTGGCCCCGAAGTATAGGGTGGTACAACGATAATGGCATAGTTAACGAAGGACCATTGTATCACCTGACGGCTGATGGATTGGGCATGTATGGCGTGGAAATAAAATCACTCAGAGCCGATCACAGCACCACTTGGAAATGTGTCGCTACTAGTTCGACGGGATCGAAGGCTGTTACATCCTGCGTGGTATCGGTGTCATGTAATGTTGTTTAAATACTGTATTTTACGTCATACAAATTACTTTAAAATTGTAACCTTATTGAATCTATTATTTTTCTTCTCAGACCCAAAGAATTACCGGGTGCCAAGATTTTTAGAAAGCCTTAGGGCAATCATGACCGACGAAGGTTTAGTTAGCTTTGAATGCAAGGTCATCGGATACCCCACACCACAACTTTTGTGGTTCAAGGACGGCAAGCAACTTCAACCCGGAGATGTGTATGAGTTAACTGGGAGTAAATCATTAGGTAAAACACAAAATAAAATTGAAATCGTATGATGCTACAGAAATTTGGGTGTAAATAATACTATATAATTTAGGAAGCTATTGTTGTGTCGCCCGAAACTGTATGGGTGAAACAAGTAGCCTCGCTGAACTTACGATAGAAGACATCCAAAATCAATTGAATGAAAGTGAAAAACTTCAGTTAACGTCAAATACACAGCCACCACGGTTTTTATTGGGACTTAAGAGTATTGAAGCTAACATTAACGAATCTTTTGTTTTTATGATCAAAGGTCAGTGAATTAAGTTCTAAATGAAAAATGACGATTATGTAAACTAAACAAAGTATGTTTTTATGAACATTTAAACGAAATTAACTTTTTTTTAGTCACAACTGAATCCACACCTTCAATCAGTTGGTATAAAGAAGACGAACAAATTACTGAATCAAATCGATACCAGTTTTCTACTGAAGACAATGGGACATATATTCTAAACATAGTGCCACTCGAAATTGACGATCAGGCTGAATGGAAATGTGTAGCAATCAATAAGTATGGTCAAACTGCGACGTCCAGTTTCTTGAAGTTAAATATTCCAAAAAATTTTAAACGTCCGAGATTCCTTGAAGAACTGAGAATAGCGTTCTCAAACGAGGGTTCGGTCAACTTAGAGTGCAAAGTACGTAAATGCGCAGATATAATAATTTATAATTACAAATTAAATGAGTTTTTCGAATATACATAAACTGTGTTATCTCAGGTGATTGGCGTCCCACAACCGCAATTGAAATGGTTTAAAGATGGCCAAGAGCTGAATCCCGGCGACATGCACAAAATAATTTCTGGACAAAGTGGTACGTGCTGTTTGGGCACTTACACTTGCCAGGCACACAACTGTATGGGGACGGTGTCCAGTTCAGCAACTCTATTGACAATGGAAGGTAATATCATGTGCAAAACATTGCACAGTACAAATATCACAATTGAAATGTATGAGTAATAATTATATTTTTGTCCTGTTCCAGATAAATCCACTGTCAAATCATGCGCTTCGGAAGAGTATCTATCTGTCGGGAATCCACTTGTACGGAATGAATCCTTGTCGACAATTCCTGAAGAGAGGACGAGCCAAATGGAAAAGTCGTACACCATTGAAGAACCCGCTGACATATCATTTTCATTTGACGGCAAAGAAGTGACCGTTTCGCTTTATGAAACCCCAGACCTAACGCACGACGAAGCATTGCAAATCATTGAAATGTATGCGGATGAACTTTCTGAACATATATCAGGTATTAATGTATTATATACACATATTATTTAAGATTCAACAAGATATTATATGACTGTTGTGTTTGATAATGTATTTTTATTATTTAAATTGATTTTGTTTTCAAATTTAATTTCACAGAAGACAATGTTGTTGATTTGCCATCGTTGCGAATCGTTAAAGAATCGTCAATTTCCGGCCCGGTTATGATGGAAGCTTTGGTTATAGACGTGCCTATCGATTTTTGTCGACAACAAACAGTATCAGACACTGAATTCGATGGCGTTTCGCTGACTGAAGACATAACTCTTGCAAATAATGATAAAAGCGAAAGCATATGTGAGAATAGCCTGGAATATTTTTCAGATCATTTGTCGTCTGGAAATTCGAAGCGTGAGGTATTTTATAGTGCGAGTGAAACGACGCCTAAAAATTCATCAGTGATTTTAAAACAGAAACCAGAAGACGATGGTCATCAGTCTTTCCAGACACCAAAACTCTTTATGTCAGACTCCGATGATCAGATTCTAACGCAACTGAAATTGGATGAAAGACTTTTACCTCCAAATTCTAGACATGTAACTGGACCATTGGCTCGGTCTGAGAGCAATAACACCGAAGAAGAAGTGTCTGAAACACTGGCTGAAATAGAAAATGAACCACCATTATCACATAATTATTGCGCATCTGAAATTGTTACTCAGTCTGATGAAGATGGATTATACTCCTCAGTATTGAACAAAATACGCGGTAAAGGAAAGACGAGTGTGATACTTAGTTCTGCAGAAGACGACGTTTTTAAAATTATTTCCAGACCAAACGTGGATGAATTTTTAAAATACATGAAAATCATTTTGGAAGGCACTATGGTAAAGATGCGCACTCACGAAAATTTTAATTTCACTAGCACGAATACTGAACTTGAACGTTCGATCCAAGCGCTACATTCTCTTGCATGGAAATTTATTGAAGAAACGGAGAGAAACGATGTAACAGAGTTAGACAAAAACACGGCCGATAATGTATCAAGTTTAATGACTGCAATAAACGCGAGTTTGCTAGCGTTAGAACAAATCGATGATCCATTTGGTGTCTCAGACAATGTATTAAACGAAATACAATCATCCGTATGTTTTGATTTAGAAACGCTTAACAATAACAATCTTCCAGCTACGGTCATTTTAGATCGTTTATCAGACCAAATAAAAAACTTCACACTCGTTGTCAATAGACAAGTAGCCCAAGTAACAGAACAACGTATTATAGCTGTGTTACGAAACACAATCGGCACTACTTTGGTGTACATCAAAACCTTACAACAGAATTGTTCTAAAATAAAATGTGTGGACATAAATTCATTGGCACCTTTATTTTCAATGATACAACCATTAGAAACTATTTTAAATGACATAGCTGCTATGGAAGATGCATCAATAGACGATAACAAACCCAATCTTAAATTAAAACAAATATTAATACCCCCCATAAGTTCTATTGCGTTTGCTTTAGACAGTCTAAATACAGCATTAAAAAACGATAGTTCTAATGACGATCAGGATTTAAAAAATATTTACGAGAAAATAAATGAATCCACAAATCAATTTATGACACTAGCCTCGCATGGCATGGAAAGTAATAAAATAGCTGAGTGTTTCATATCGTTCACAAAACCTATTAACGATTTATGTTGTCACCTAAGACGGTTAGGCAGATCAACTGAAAATATTGTGTCTTCTGATTACGGATCTGACGATAAACTCTTACTAGATTTTGAGACCCTTTTCGATGAACTGATGATAGATATTGACACATTGATCAACAATGTAAATTTTGTTCAAGATTCCGAAAACAATATGAATCCTTTAGGATCTTTATTAGAACCATTGCAAGATATGAAAATTGGTTTGTTCCAAGTTAATCAAGTTTTACTTTCGAACCAAACTGGTTCAACCATGAGTTATGAAGTAATGAGTTGTTTTGAACATTTATCTCAGCAACTCGTTCAACTGAACAATTGTATTGTCAATCAATCAATAGTAGAAGAGACCGACAAGGAAATACCATTTGAATCTTCGATAAAAATGATGCAAAACATTTTGTTCGACGATGCTATTGATGATTTAGGTGTTAACGGAATACTTTTTGGTAGTGTTATGAAACCTCTTTTACAACTTCAAAATCTTATTGTTTCAAAAATGGCTTCAGTAGAAAGTGACCTTAGTTTTTCAGAACACACTGATGTTACTGGTGGGGCTTGTGACACACAATCATTGAGTTTATCCTTGTCAAACAACGCTCAAACTTTCTTGGATAAAACTGCTAATGAAAACTCTAAACAGGTAATAATTGAATCATCAATCATAGACAGTTCAAATAAAGGTCGTGATAAGCAAAATAATATACGCAGGGATACTTCCGAAATAGAAAAAGATTCAATACTTTTTGAAAATGACATTAATAATGAAAATGTTGTAAAAAGAGGTTTTGAATGCGATATTGGGGAAACATTCAAATACGATGAACCAAATATTATAACATCTGAAGATGATCGAGACAATTCTGGTTTTGAAGCACTGTTTCAAGAAACTGATTTAGAAACGATAAGTGATTTCGTTGAAGATGTAAATTTGGATAATATTATGATTTCCAAAGTTGATCATAAACTATCAGATTTAATAATGGATGAAACAGATATTGATACGATGCAAAAGAAAACCGATGATATTATTCCAGAACATGTATTAGAAACATTAGACAAAATTAACCAACATGACTTAGTTTTGAATTCCTCTGTTGATTTATTTGAAGAACTTCAAGAAACATTAAAAACAATGACTGAAGTAGCTCGAGATGAAACATCAGAAATGCACAACTTGGATAATAATACATCAAACACGAATGACTCCCAAAATGTTGATTCAACATATATGAATCCAATTTGCGATAAAGTATCGTATAACGCATTAGACAATTCATTAGATGTAGATCAAAACGATGAAAATGAAACGTTTAAAAATAAACATAGGAGTATTAATGATCAAAATACTAACAAAGAATCGCAAATATTTGAAATAGGGCAGGACGTAGATTTTGTTGAGAATTTAGAGAGTTTAGACTCAGATAAATCAGTATCTAATAACACAATTATTTCAATCCATGAAATTTCTGATTTAAGTGAAGTTAAAATAAAAGAAATTGATCATACAAAAAATGTAGAAACTGTTTTTGATCTATTTGCATCTAAAACTGGAAATGTTCCTCAAATAGAAGAGTTACTGGATAAAAATGAAACTTCAATTACCTCTGTAGATGTGTCAAATGGAAATAAATCTTTAATTACATCTGTACATAATGTGGTGTCCAAAATAAATGACAATGATGCAGCTATAACAACTTTATTCGATTTAAAAAATGGAACTTTGGAGCAAACTGTGTTTAGCAAATTAAACTCTACTGAATCTATTCAAAATTTAAATATTGTTTCGAATGAAGATATTAAGATTGATAAAAATAAGTTCAATGAATCTGAAAATATTAATACGTTAAATAATGATAATGATATAGAAAATAAAGATACAATGTTAATCAAAGAAGCTGAAGTACAGTCGATCACAGAAAATGTTTCAGACAAGTCATTTACAAAAGATGACGCTGTCGTAAATGAAAATGATGCTATTGATAATTTAGGAACGGATATGGTCATTCAAGTGGAAGAAACTAGAAATGGAAATGAATACAACACCGACAAAGGTAAACAAATAATTTTAATAGATGAATGCACTAACGAAACAGAATTAAATAAAATGTTACGAACTTTAGTGGAAGAGAAAAATCTTATAACACCAGAAAATAAATTAGTGATCGGAGATAATGATTCTAAGATTATTGACCAAGATGATAATTTGGACAAAAAATTACAACACGATGTACAACCAAACGTAAATAAAACTTCTACAACAGATAATATGCAAATTGTTCTGAGTTATACCAATTGTGAAAATGTGGCGAACCAGATACTAAATGTTCTTCAAACAGAAAAATGTGATAATAGATTTGAAAATAATGATATAATAGATGACATGAAAATTAAATCTAAAAATAACGTTATTAACGATTTTAAAGATTCATTTAATTCTATTTTAAATGAAAAAGAAGCTGATTGCAATATGAAAATAAATATACATCCAGAAAACAAAATAAAAGGAATAGTAATGGGCGATGAAGAAAAGTCCACAAATAAATTAAATACAACTTTCTCCGACTTAAAACAATCTACTATTTTAGAAAAACACGATACAGATCTATCAGAAAATACATTAATAAATAATAAAATAATTACTCTGGAGAGTACACAATCAATTGATCCATTTAAATTGGAAGAAAATCATTTTGAAAAACAATTCACTGAAAATATGGATTCCAAATATGAACATAACACAGCTTTAGATGATAAAGAGAACATGGTAAATAATTTAGAATATTTAGACTCTAAAAATGAAATCAAATTATCTTGTCCATATGAGATGATCAATAAAGATGAAGAGAATTCACCTAATGAAGTTCAATTCATACAAAACGATGAGTACAAATTGATTAAGGAATCTGCAAATATTGTTGTAGAACCAACCACTGCTTTGATATGTAATGAAACTATTTTGGTATCCAACGCTCAACCACTAGATACAGTTGTAATTGATTTTGAAAATATCAAAGAACAGTATGAGAAAGATGTATGTATTTCTGAGTCTAAGAATAAAATAGTTTTAGAAGATGTAATCGATAATGTAGAGAAAAATAATCAGCAGAGCAATGATGGGGAACCAATGTCCAAAGATAAATTATTATTAGAGCCTTTACACTCAAACAACGTAACTTATGATGAAAATAAGTCAGAAAAATCTATTACAAACGATTGCATTGAAAGTCAGACTTCAAAATCAATTGATGAAAAATCGAATTCTGTCAGTAGTAATGATGCTGTGATGGATAATGGTGACATATTAAAAACAATAAATAATTTTGGGGCAGACGATGCAGAAGAAAAAATAATGACTAAATTGAAGATATTCAATGAAGGAGAGGTCACAACTTTTTTGGATTTAGAAAAGACAAAATCCAACATCGAAAAAGTTGATAATTCAAAAATATTTGCTTCTGAAATAAACTGTTTACCCTTTGATAATGACCAAGTCGTTGATTTATGTGATGCGAAAAACAACTTAGCTAAAAACAAAGGTTCATTTTTGGCTAAAGAAAATGGAGAAGAGTGTAATGAAGTTACTAGTCAACAAAATACATGCATTGAAATCTTAAATGAAAATAACGCAAATCAACAAAAACAATTTACTGAATGCCCACCAAAGGTTCCAGGGAACTTTGAAAAACTAGTTACACTTTCACTCGAAGAAACTCGGGAAACTAATACAGTCAGCAATGTTGAGAAATTAAATAGAAGTGAAGACAATTTAGAAATAAACAAAACAAGTGCAACAAACAGTATTGAAAATAATACTAATAAAGAGCAAAATCCAAATTCAATCGATGTTTGTGAATCATTGGAAAATAATACAGTTTTGGTTAATAATAGAAATCAAACAATATGCTTAAATAATACGGAACTTGCAAATGCAAATGAAAAACTTACGGAAGATTTAGAAAATATTCAAGAACTTTCTGGGAACAATTTTGAAAAACCGTTTGACTATAAAAATAATTTAGGAGGTGCAGACAATTTTAAAAATGATGAAAATACAGAAACAGAAGAAATAAAAAAAGAATTTATCAATTTAATGGATCTTGAGACATCAAAGAGGAAATTAGAGACTACTACTGTTAATACTCCAAGAGTTGACTCGGACGAAAGTACAAAACAAGAAGAAAGATCAACCTTAGAAAATCTGTCAAATTTAGTAATTGATGATCTAAATATCTCCTTCGAAGCTCCCAAAAATGAATTATCTATCAATAAAAACATTGATAGTACAAGTATAGAAAGTTCTAATTCAAATATTTCTATATCTGAAACTTTGCAGATTAACGCTACAGTTGATATAATAGATCAGCACAAAGATATTTCCAAAACTGAAACACAAGAAACACCAGACAATAGTAAGGAACGAGAAATCAAGGATTATTCAGGAGAAATTCAAAGCTGTAAAAGTAATTTACCTTTAAGTGAATTCCGAGATATTCAAGAAAGCAATACTATAGACGGAAATAAAGAAAACGAACACTCCAAAAAAGGACCTGATGGTATAAATATCAATGAAGATAAATTGATAAACGAGGTTAAAATGAATTATGAGATTAATGTTGATACTGCTTTGGAGAATAGCTCTATTGGTCTAAATGATTATTTGTTAGAAAGTAAAATCAGTGATGTGTCAGCTGCAGAAAAATGTGGTGTTCTTTCTATTCTGCCAAAATTGCATTGTGCAGAGAAAATTGCCTCTGATGGAACCGAATGTGTGATTTTAGAAAATACGAATAACTTGAAAAACTATGATATTAATGCTGCTGAAAATGATAAGCAACATGCACGAGTGGAACACGAATTAAACATCGCTGCTATCGGAAACAGTATCATAGATTACGACAGTGTTAAAGAAATCTCATTAACTGAAGGTGAGGAAAACAAATTTACAGCAAAGGTGACTACAGCTCTTACTTTTGACAACCATTCATTTGAAATCGTCTCGACTAATGTTGATATTTTGAATGATAATACTAAAGATACAAAGATAAAAGATGAACAAATTGTGCATTCGGACACTAATGAAGTAATTGAAAATTCTTCAAGATCGACAACGCATTCAAGTGAAAATGAGAATCCAGAAGTTTCAACAGTTGATAAATTAAAGGATGAAATTGAAAATACAGACAATTTCAAAGAAACTGTACAAACAAAAACCAAATCGATGCACAACACTACAGAATTATACAACGATGATACTTCTAATCATAGCAATGTAGATTTGAAAAAGAATAATGAAGGAGTTGAGAAATTACAACAATCTTTAGAAAATGCAAATCAAATGTTTGAATCTTCAGTGGTTTCCGTAGAAAAACATGACAACAATGATGATTTTAAAAGTGACAATAGAGACAAGACGAATCGAGGAAGTAAGAAAGAGAAATCAGGCCCACAGCCAGATGATAAAAAATCACCTTCACCTGATAAGACAATAAGTAAAATTATCGATAATGAAGAGAACATTGACACAACAATAGTTATTAATAAAAGTGTTAAAGAAAATATTAATAAACTTTCAGATGATAACAAAGATACTATAATAGTTGAAGTTGAAATGGATAAAACGCAAGCAGAAAATGTACCAGAAAATATAATTGAAAAAGCCGTCTTAAATGTCAATGAAAATGAAAATCAGAAGAATAGCGAACTCAGTACAGATGATAAAATAAAATCGGAAGAAAGTAATGTGGAAATAGACAAAACAAAACGAGGAAGTAAGAAAAAGAAATCAAGTCCAAAGCCAGATGATACAAAATCACCTTCACCTGATACTACAAAAAGTAATATTAATGTCGGTGAAATAAATACTGACACAGCAAAAATTATTGATAAAAGAATCGAAGAAAATAATAAAAATCTGTCACATGACAATAAAGATACTGAAAAAGTTGAAGTTGAAATGAATAAGAAGCAAACAGAAAATGTTCCAGAAAAAATAATTGAAAAAGTCGTATTCAATGTCAATGAAAATGAAAATCAGAAGAATAGCGAAATCAGTACAGACGATAAAATAAAATCAGAAGAAAATAATGTGGAAAAAGACAAAACCAAACGAGGAAGTAAGAAAAAGAAATCAAGTCCAAAGCCAGATGATACAAAATCACCTTCACCTGATAAGACAATAAGTAAAATTATTGATAATGAAGAGAACATTAATACAACAATACTTATTAATAAAAGTGTTGAAGAAAATATTAATAAACTGTCAGATGATAACAAAGATACTGTACAAGTTGGAGTTGAAATGGATAAAACGCAAGCAAAAATTATACCAGAAAAAATAATTGAAAAAGCCGTCTTAAATGTCAATGAAAATGAAAATCAGAAGAATAGCGAAATCAGTACAGATGATACTAAAATAAAATCGGAAGTAAATAATGTGGAAAAAGATAAAACAAAACGAGGAAGTAAGAAAAAGAAATCGAGCCCACAGCCAGATGATACAAAATCACCTTCACCTGATAAGACAATAAGTAAAATTATTGATAATGAAGAGAACATTAATACAACAAAAATTATTGATAAAAGTATCGAAGAAAATAATAAAAATCTGCCACATGACAATAAAGATACTGAAAAAAATGGAGTTGAAATGGATAAAACGCAAGCAGAAATTATACCAGAAAAAATAAATGAAAAAGCCGTCTTAAATGTCAATGAAAATGAAAATCAGAAGAATAGCGAAATCAGTACAGATGATACTAAAATAAAATCGGAAGTAAATAATGTGGAAAAAGATAAAACAAAACGAGGAAGTAAGAAAAAGAAATCGAGCCCACAGCCAGATGATACAAAATCACCTTCACCTGATAAGACAATAAGTAAAATTATTGATAATGAAGAGAACATTAATACAACAAAAATTATTGATAAAAGTATCGAAGAAAATAATAAAAATCTGCCACATGACAATAAAGATACTGAAAAAAATGGAGTTGAAATGGATAAAACGCAAGCAGAAATTATACCAGAAAAAATAAATGAAAAAGCCGTCTTAAATGTCAATGAAAATGAAAATCAGAAGAATAGCGAAATCAGTACAGATGATACTAAAATAAAATCGGAAGTAAATAATGTGGAAAAAGATAAAACAAAACGAGGAAGTAAGAAAAAGAAATCAAGTCCAAAGCCAGATGATACAAAATCACCTTCGCCTGATACTACAAAAAGTAATATTAATGTCGGTGAAATGAATACTGACACAGCAAAAATTATTGATAAAAGTATCGAAGAAAATAATAAAAATCTGTCACATGAAAATAAAGATACTGAAAAAGTTAAAGTTGAAATGGATAAGAAGCAAACAGAAAATGTTCCAGAAAAAATAACTGAAAAAGCCGTCATAAATGTCAATGAAAATGAAAGTCAGAAGAATAGCGAAATCAGTACAGATGATATTAAAATAAAATCGGAAGAAACTAATGTGGAAAAAGATAAAACAAAACGAGGAAGTAAGAAAAAGAAATCAATCCCACAGGCAGGTGATGTTATATCACCTTTACCTAATTCCACAAAGAGTGATGTTAGTGTTAGTGAAATGAAAGTTGACACAACCAAATGTATCGATAACAGTCTTGAAGAAAATAATAAAAAATTGTCACATTATTATGAAGACATTGAATGTGCAGCAATTGAAGTAGATAAAATAGAACCAGAAATAGCTTCAGATAATAATTTAAAGGTTTTAGGAAGTATAGAAAAAGATGTTTCTACTGATAAAACAAGTGAAAACCAGAAAAATATTTTAATTGATGTAGATGACAATACATTGGTGGAAAATGGAATGGATAAGAATAAGAAAACAATTTTAGAGTCTGAATATCAAATACCAATTTCAAAACCTTCATTGAATATCAAAACAAATAAAATTGATTCAATATTTACCGATGAAATCGTCGAAGACAACAATAGAAAAATATCAGATAATTATAAAAACTATGCGCGAGACGGAACTAAGATTGAACTGGAAACTGCTGCTGGCACTAATAAAAGTATGACAGAAATCTTTGAAGATCAGAATGATGAAAACAACCGTAATGATGATGAAATAAAAGCAACAGAAAAAGACAAGACGAAACGAGTAAGCAAGAAAGAGAATTCAAGCAAACGATCAGAAGGTAAAAGATCAACTTCAGCTGATAAAAAAGAGAATACGATTTCAGATTTAACAGAAAATTTCACAGAACAGTTGCCTAACAGAAACACGACGTCAGACAAGTTGGAACAAGCGCAAAAAATATGCTCTTCAGAGAATAGTAATATCGAAATTATTGGAAAGAGTAAAAAAAATATAATTGATACACATTTATTATCCAATACAAACAAAAGTATTGCGGATTATAATAAAAAAGAACAAGAAATGAGCGCTAAATCAACTTCACTGGAAAAATCTCTAAGAACGCACACAACGGTTAACGACAACTTTGACAACAACCCCAATGATAATAAAACAAATTGTCTTACGGGCATTCAAAATGAGAGAAAATTGACTGGTATGACTAATGTTGACAACGTTGTCGACGTACCGGAAGCCCGGAGCTTGGATAAACGTCCAGTAAACCGTTATCTACTGGATGTGACCGATGCACATAAGTCACGCCCGAACACCCTGGCTTACAGATCTCTGACACCGGATCATTTGACATCATACAGATCTCTGACGCCTGATCATCTGAGTTCATACAGATCTCTGACGCCGGAGAGTCCGTCATACAGGTCAAGCCTAACACCGAGGACTAAGTACTCGACGCCGACAAGATATACGGCTTCATCGGACAAAGAACTATACGGTGGCAGCAGCAGTAGTCACAGCAGCAGAGGCAGCAGCCGATCTACAAGTCCTTACCCACCAGAATCGAGGATTTCAGCCCGAAGTCTTTGGCCTACCAACGTAACGGCATACCGATGCCTTTCGGAGACATCCATTCCTCTCAGTCCAAGGCGTGCGCAAGTAGAGACGAATTCTGGTTGGCCACACACCAGCTACGGTTTGACCACCCGGAGACGCAGGGGATCTGACAGTTTCCTGCACGATTCAGGAGTACGGGACGGAGGTTACTATTCGAGTTGGAGATTGTCTGACGGCCGGGCAGCAATATACAACGCTTCCGAAGACCTTTACAGGACAAAGGTAACAACCTCATGAAACGATGATTATATTTTATGGTGATTTAATTCATACACTTGGATGTGTGTCACATAGGAGGCGTTTAAAGGTCTGCACTTCTGCGTTCGGTTGATAGACCAGACAGTGTCATCCGGTGCTCGAGTTAAGTTCTGGTGCAGTGTCATCGGCCATCCAGAACCACGTGTTCAGTGGTATCGAGACGGTCAGAAACTCAACAGTTTCACTTACAACTCTTCAGCAAGGTGAGTAAGCGACATCACAAAAACCACGGTGGGATGTATATACAATATTGTATTCATAAAAACGTTCTTAATCTTTACAAATTCAAATCATTGATCGACCATTAAGATTTTTTCTTCGTACAGTCATACTTTAAGACGCTGTATCGGCCTAAAATATAAAACGACAATGTTTTGATATCAATTAACTAATAGAAATCCTAGCTCTTAGGTCACGTGTTAAGATATATTGTACGTATTGTGTTCGTAATATATTTGTTTGAAATTCATTTTTTAATTATTTGATCTAAGTTCTTTAGATATCTATACAAAAACAACAATACTGAAAATAATAATAACAACATCATACACCCCATTCTTGAACGTTTATCGTATTGCAGGTATCAAACAAAATACGACGGAGGTTTGGCCCAACTGATCATTGAAAACGCTCAGAGTGGCGATTCTGGAGAGTATACGTGCGTGGCTTCCAACGGCCGTGACCGAATATCTACTACCGGATTCCTGACGGTGTATACGTCGCCATCGGTTTTCAGGAAACCACTGCAACAGCCATCGCTGTCTGTCGACAGTATTGAATCCGGTCGCGGGCTTTACTCTCGGACCAGCCACGATTTCCGATTATCTTCCAACGACAAGTTCGATTTCAGCTACCAGAAGTTTGCCGGTGACTTGGCCAGCAGGCGCCCTGAGTATCCAAAGTTCGTGTCTAGCATAATCGCCGACGACGTGGCGACTTATGGTGGTACGATCGCTCTTCAGGTCCGGGTGCAAGGTCAGTATTAGTTGCTTCGTAAAAGATAATATATACGTATTATACATCAACACCCGTTTGAACTTGAATTAAGTTAGTCATAATATTATTACGTTTAATATATGGCACTAGTTTTTTTTTCGGATTAGCACTAGAGTTAGATAGCGTTTTTACAAAATATCATGCTACAAAGAGGTGTAAACAATTCGCATGTTTCAGGTTCCCCGGTGCCGAATGTGACGTGGATGCGTGAATCAAGACCACTTCCACGGTTATCGGGCAAGTACGTTTACCTGGATGAGGGTGGGCTATACACGCTTCTGGTAATGGACAGCACGGCCCGGGATGGCGGAAAGTACGTGTGCCGCGCGTGCAACCTTTACGGGGCGGCGGACGCGGAAAAGGCAGTTAGGGTGGTGTCGCCGCAGGATTACACCGACCGCAGGGGTGTGAAACCCGCCATTATCGTGTCAAGACCTAATGATCGACTGAACGTGGCCGTTGGCGAGGACATTACCGTCACCCTCCGGGTGGCCGGTGAACCGAAACCCAAAGGTATGTTTGTAATAAGGGTGTGGACTCGAAGCGAACGTCCATTTCGCTATAGTTGTATTATTCATCATACGAGTATACTGTTTTGTGTGGCTTAGAAACGACATTTTTTCTACTGCCGTCAGATCAAAATATGGATTCATCGACATAAATAAATAAATACTTTTTATTGTTATTATTTTTGAGTTAACAATATAATAAACGCAGTTAACGTTTCTTTCTAGTCATATGGATGAGAGGTTCAAGGGACGTGACATTCCTCGATCGATCGCTAAAGGAAACTGTCAACGACTACGTTATGCTGTCGATCAAAAAGGCGCAACCGTCGGACGCCGGGACGTATTTTATTATCGCTAAAAACGTGTACGGATCTGATAGGGCGTTTGTCACCGTCGGGGTAAGTGATCGTATCAGCAGCTGGGTCTCGTCGGACATCTCCCGGTAGGGATGCGTCGTGATATATTATATTGTTGTTAAATCATAATAATATGTTGTTTTTTTCTCGATATCATATATCACTATCGCCTCTACTTTTCGATACGTTCGATATACGAGTATAATATATGATTATTGTTGTAGCCTGCCGTTCGAATAATATAATATTGTAATATATTATTATTATTATAATATACACCAGTTGTAATATAGCCAACCAAAGCGGAGTTTTTCTTTTTTTTTTCACTAATAAAATTAACCAAAAAATACAAATAATCTATTTGATCGCTACTTAATGTTATATTATATTACATAATATGTATATAAATTTATGTATAATGTAATACAATATAATATGTAGGTACACGCGTCCAAATGGTTTTTTACAGCCATTGTACATTATAATTTATATTAATACGATATAATTTTACTCGGAGCTCGATCACCGATCGTCAGCCCGAGTTTGATATACCTAAGCTACAAGTTACGCCACGATTTCCTTTCCTCGTTCTGAAAGCTCCACCTACCGGATTTGTCCGAAAAACAGGACATTGTTTCCATTGGAATTCGGTGATTTATTTTCGGTACAGGTAGATTACGAAATCGAATTTTCAGGTCAAATTGGCTGAAGTACAGCCTATCATATCACAATATGGACTTACATAGTAATATTGCGGGTCAACTCTTAGATGTGACCGCGTATAGTGTTGCTACATTGTTTAAAATTGTAATAACCATGATACGAAGCGAATTTTATGTTTTTTATCGTCATAAATTTATTATATTTCAACTTATTATTATTATTTTTTTTTACTGAGGAAAAAATAATACATAATCATTATTGTTAATTTTATGGTAATAATTATGTCCACAATAATGACAACATGTATAATAGGTACCTATATAGTCATAACTATAATATACATTTGAGTTGCACGCTTATAAGGGAACATGTTTTTAGTAACTTGTAAATTATTCATTTTACTGTCGTTTCAGCCATTAAAATCTGTTGACAGCGTGATTGTAATTATTTTTAATTGATTTATTGCGGACAGTCTGCTCGGTCGCATATGATTATTGTTCATTACTACAGGACTCGATGAGTGTATGGCGTTATCGAGAAATATTTATTCATAATAATAATAAACTTTGTTGAATTTTGCTACAGCAAGCTCCGTTATAGTTACGTAATCGTTACATGAATTAATTGTTATTTACATAAAAATATAATGTTAATTCCATTAAATCCATAATAATAAATATCATAATAATACTATTACACTTTGATTAAACTGATTAGAATTACTATGCTTCTTAAGACCTTAGACCAGCTATTTGACAAATTATAAGACTAAAACCTCAATATTGTGTGCCATATTAACGGCCATAAGTACATAGGTACCTATTTGAAATCTAAATTAATACACTCTGACTTTTTTTAAACGGAATTGAGTTGTTTTGCTAACCGTGGTCACATCTAGAAAGTGTACTCTCGATGTCTCAAAGTGCCTTAAATTATGTGAAATAAAAATTATTGTGACGTGATCTTACCATATTTTTTAATTCAATTTTAAAAGTTTTGTATGATTTTGAGTCACAAGTATTATTTGATTGTACAAATATTTTAACATTATTATAATGCATGTTACAGATTTTAGTTAAACATCTTTAGGAATTGTTCATATTTTAACTTTTGGCTTTAAGCCTGTTCAATTTAAAATAATACGTAACTACCAATATAGAAAAGAAAAAAATTAACAACACAATTATTACTATTATTAAGCCATCAAATCTAAAATTATTATCTAGGTAATAAAATTAAGCAATGCCAATAATAATGTATGAAGTATAATGCAGCCTACGCTTTTTTTACGATTTTTCAATAATAATAACAATAATAATAATAATAATATAAATAACAACACTAGTATTATTACTATTTAAACTGAAAAATATTTATCATCGCTAGAGTAAGTACAGTAATTGTTAATAAATAATAATGATAGTAATCGATATTCATTGATTACACAGTAGGTTTTTTTTATCATTCCTAGTATAATGTGACGCAATATCGTTGATTAGGTAGCAAACTTAATGTTTTTCCCTAACCCCGATATTATTGAATCACAGGTTAGGTATCACAAATAATAATTTACTTTGAAATCTAATCAGTATCCTCCTTTAAAATAAATCTAGGAGGGTTCATTTATATAGGCTATCATAACGATTTAACTCTCACTTTATACTATCTTATATTATTTCCTCCTTATGCGGTTTGCTTATCATAGTCAAAACATACAAGTTTTGAACATTTTATTAAAATATCGTTTACAACAATAGAGTGAGAATACTAGATTTAATGAATTCCGTAAACAACTTTAATACACTGTAAAACAGTTTACACTAAATTCCATACAAATTTTTTGTTTAGCACTTAAAACCATTTTATCACATATTTATACCTATAATTTGACGGATAAGTCAATAATAATTTGTGTGCATGAAGAGCAAAAGATAATAATTGTGGAAAATATTCTGGTTAGTTTTTAAACGTTTATTATTTAATTTGATCATGAATCATTTAACAGCTAACTCGTACATATATGTTAAATAACATTGCTCGATATCTTAATATCAAATTTATCAACGTTCAATATTTCTATAATCGTGTATTTACATTATTATAATTCAATTGCTATTACTACAGTAATAAGTGCTCTAAGTAAATTTTTATTTTTAATACCATCTAAAATTTAGATTTATGATTAATCTATGTTACCTTTTATATGTGGTTATTTCGATTATAGCGTAAATATTGTGTGAATAATAATAGTAGTACGTATATTTTCAAGTTTCAAGAGGGTATAATTTTAAACATTCGTATAAAAATGAACCAAATCTTGTTGGTAACTAGTTTTTTTATAGGTATCCACTAATATTATAAATCTGAACGAAATCGAAACGACTGAATAGAAATTAACTAGAAAAACGCTTACTTATAATCTTAATTAGTAGTCCACGCCGTAGAAGAAATTTAATTGAATTAATATCTGAAAATATTTTGACCGATTCTAAATCCAAAACAATTTGTATAGTATTTAATTGATCACTACAATATTAACTAATTAGTATTTAAGTTTAAGGTAAAATTATTAAGACAGTACAACACAATCTGTTATTATACCCTGAATTGGGTATACACACAAAACATCCTAATAAATACGTACAAATAAGTTCAAATGTTGCTTAAATATTTTTGAACTATTCTATTTCAATTTATGTGCATAAATATGCACCAATGGTTCTGATTTAAAAATTTCGATTTCACTCCATTTCGAATCAATATACAACCTGAATTAAGCTGCAACAGCATGTACATTTTTTCAAACTATTATTGAGGAATAACATTTTGAATTTTAGAATATAATATTTGGTTTCGGTGCTTTTACATGTTGATGGGCTCGTTTTTATTGTGTTAATTCATTTTGACCAAACATTTTCATTCAGTTAGAGTAAAACTTTACTAGCAAACGCTGTTCGTGGGTGCAATTTTATGTAACATGTTGTCAAGTACAAATTGAAAATAAAGGACTAGTGTTTTACAATTATATTATGACGACTGTTAAATTGGAATACATTACTTGTATGATTACGCTTTATGAAAAACGACTGTCCTTACGAAATTTGAACGATTGAACGGTTCTGATTTCTTGTACCTATAGATATGTACTTTAAAAGTCGTAACGTTGTAACTCACATACATTATATCTGTACACTAATCATCCGACAAATATCTATTTATTAATAAAATCTTTTTTTTTAGAAATTTATTAAATTTAAATTATTTATTTCGTCTCAAATACGTATTCTCGTATTATAATAATAATATGGAATACAAGTCGAGTTGATATTTCAATAGAGTTTTGTCTATATTAGGTATATTTTTAGGACCTTTAAGATCCCCGCCAGTTTCTAAATTGTTTCGATAGTACGCATTCGTTAAACACACTCTCGTATGTATTAAAAATATTGATAAGAACGCGAAACAACAGATGTATAAAAATATATAAAATGGTCTTTAGGTATCTAAATTTTACAGTGTTGTAAAAATATTAAATTTGATTAAATTATGGTCTAGTAGTTGTGCAACTTGACATTTCTCAAGATCCACAATTGATATTTATGTTGTGTACTTATGTCCTACATAATAATGTTAAAATAATGTAGTTGAACATTATTATAAGAACTTTCATGTACATACCAACCACAATATTTATCTCTTGATATGGATTCTCAAAGAAAGTCAAGGGGAGCCATTGAAATTACTGAGTTTTCTTAACCCAAATATAACATGTATTTTTTTTAAAACAAGATGGCTATAATTTAAAAATCTACTTTTATTTCAATATGGTTATAGCATATAGGTTATATTTATCCACCTAATTAGTAATAAATGGTATTTATGTGTTTTATAGGTAGATAGGTACTAGGTACACTATTAGATTGGTACGTTCTAATGATATCATCATTTTTTGTACAACTTAGTTGTAGCCTTGTAGGTACACGTTCAATTTACATATTTTAAGTATAAAAGTAATCACTTATTAAATGACTAGAAAAAGTGACCATTTTTTTCGGATTCAATAATGTCACCGAATCGGATATCCAGACATCTTAGTACCTATACATTTTTATATACAATGATATTCCACCCACGCATGAAACAATCGCCAAGCGTGAATAGCGATTCAAATAACTGTTAGACGACCCCCATAGACTTTATAACAAAAATTAGGCACTATAATATCACGTCTATTATTGTTTATATTGCATATAGGTGAGGAAACGTGCGAGATCGTTGACACCGCCGCAAATCAGAAATACGATCGGCCGGTGGTTTAGGCCTTCGGGCGGCGGTAGAGGAGGAAGAGGAGGCTGCGCAAACAACGGTGAGCATTATAATATTATGCATACAGACGTGACAAATCTGAGAAATTTTTGTGGTGGTAAAACGGGAAAATATGACGACGGCGACAACGACTACGAGCAGCGTTTATTTCGGTCGTTTATCGAGGACCACGACTCCGCGGTCCGCCGCTATTTTTAACATCCGCAGTGTACGGTGTCAACGGGTTACGCGCGCATTTCCACTCGCGAGTTCCGTTTCCTTTGACAAACTAAAAACTAACGCTCACGCACGCACACACACATCGGCCGTACCCTCGGAGCCCTAATAATAATAATAATAATAATAATAATTAACGGTGGTGTTATTTAGCGGTGTGCGTACCTATACAATATAATCGTAGGTATACCTTTGATAACGCGTGACGCGCAAACAGCTGCAGCGACCGGAAGGAAATGGTGTACTCCGATATCGGTACCGAGAGCAACATACAACTGTTGCGGGATCGATGGACGCGGAGACGGGGAACGACGTCCCGTACTACCGCCGACTTCCTGTTGTACTTATGCGAACACCAAAGTACACGTTATACCTTACTTATAAACATAACAATAATAATATAATAATGTTATTACAATAATAACTGTACCTTATTGCCATCATATAATATACCGGCTGCACTCGTCGAATTCGACGTTTTACGCCAATATAATATTATATTATATATGGTGCGCCCCAAATTCGTTCGGATATTATGACGCCATTATTGTTAAACGGTTTTCATCCGTTTTCCAGAAGTCCCGGGTCCCGTGCGCAGCGAACCGACGGTGACGGACCGGACCAACAACCGGATATCGTTGCAGTGGGACAGACCGGAAAAACCAGAAACCGTGCTCGTGTACAGGGTGGAGACGCGATCGGCGGATGAGGAATGCTGGCGACAGGTACGATAAGTGCCAGACTTTTTGCTCGTTGATTATGCTGGCTCGTATTATTGAAGGGCTTAGGACTTCTAGTAGGTACTAAAACATCAAAATATGAGCTTAAAGTATGCTCCAAAAAAAATGTAATTTATAAATATAGTACCTTTATTTATATGACGCAAAAATATTAAAAATTATAAAAACTAATTGATTTTGTTATAGTGTTATAAATAATTATGCTATACATAATACATATAGGTACCTAAATATTTAAAAAATGAGATTATTGTACAGATTATTTTATGTTAAATCATTATAATATCTAATATCGACGTTTTTCAAATAGGCCCAAAGAATGTACCTATATGCATGCTGTATGTGCAGTCTTATATAATCAAATATGCATTTACCTGCAAAATATAATGTTAAACTTAGGTACGTAGTTCTTTAGTCAGCTCTTTCGATTGTAAGACCTACACATTTACACATCACTTATATTATCCTGTGACCTTTCTAGATAAATATGAAAAACTAGAAGTCCTCAGCCCTAATTATTACGGATCGCTTACACTATAAAAATTGATGATGGAAGGCTGAAAAAATGCTGTGATTATTTATGTAATTTCTAAATTGATGAAACGTCTTAATTTGATCTATAAATATGGGCATTGTCTTCAAAGTCCTCGAAAATAACAAACAGTTTTGACGACTATTTAGATAAAAATGTATACTATACTGGCAACAAATCACTATTTAAAAAAATTACAATTTTATTTAATTTTATAAAAATAATATCCCCCGTCTGCAGTATTTGAGTTATTTTATTTGTTATATTTAATGTCGTATTGTTTTTATTCTGTCAAAGTGTCAAACTATATTATGTATGTTTTATGGAATTGATAGTCGACGAGATCAATATAATAGACAAATGTCCGGTAGATTTGATATGAAAATGGTGGAATCGATGAAATCCGTGTGCACCTATAATAAGTTATAAGTTATAACCCCATGACACCTCACTTACATTTACACTTATTTACGACCGCGTTTCTGTATCATATCTGCGTTAGGTCGGAATGACTCCCACAAACACCATAGATGTGTACAATCTGAAACCGGGTAACCGGTACCAGTTCCGCGTAGCAGCCCGCAACAGGTTTGGATGGAGCCAGCCAGTAGCTAGCGAGGGGTACGTGGATGTGTTCGAGCCAAAGTGTCTGCCTGAATTTCGTCAACCATTGCCTGGGCAAACCCGGGTTTTATTGCGGCATAGTGCAACTTTACAGTGTCACGTAAGAATTAAAAATTATCATTACTTTTATAAGGTTATTACTTATTATATAGTAAGTGGGTACATAATCGATAAAAATAAGACATTTCAACCTTATAGGTACTAATAGTTTTTATCATTATGGTTTGATGCCAAAATAGAATTTCTAAACGTATAAGGAAAGGGGGGGGGGGCAAACAAGAATTTCAAATTATACATAGTAAAGTTACAAGTTATAGCTCATATTTTCCATCTTAAAATAATGTCATAATTTTTAACCAAATAACCAAATAACCAAAATATATACGTTTGATAGAAACGAAACATTTAATTAGTAAGAGAGATTAATACTCTCAATAATACAAAAGTATAAAGTGTGGTTAATGGTGGGGGCACAGATCCCAAGGGCCCTTCTTTAAAAAAGCCCCTGTACTGATAGTTTCTAAAGAAAATTGGCTGTATAAGTCCTAATAGCCACGTGTATAAGTAGTACCAGTAGGTTCATAATTTTATTTTTTTAAACATCAATATTTTGTTGTTTATCGCTTTGGCTATAGTGCTTACATAATAAATAATAATACAATATTATGAATGTTATCGTAGCGCGTTTAGTTCTTTTGTACGCTTATTATTATTATTATTATTGCTACCGAGAACGAATTTACTTTTTTTATTTTTACCAGCACGGTGGTAATAATTTTATACAGTTAAATAACACTATACCGTGGTGGGGGTGTACGATCGTACTACATATTTTAACTTCAGCCATCCGAAACGTATCAACGTGTTTGGCACGACTTAAAGAGGAATTTCGATTGTCAGGCTGTTGTTTACTCGTGTGTGCGGCTCAACAATTAATATGTTGTACAATTATCATCAATTAAAACAATAATTATTACATCAAGTAGTATTGGTACTCACTACTCTGATATAGTATAAAATTTAAATTTAAATCAATCGTATTCTAAATCGTTAATTAATATACAGTACCGAAACATCTTACTATAAAAGCATTCAACAACTTTGTAGAGTTAAATTTACCAATTAACAATTTATAACAATGCACAGCATATTTCTCATACATCTTGAAAGTATATTCAAATATTTTTCTACTTTTTTTTTATTGTTTGAAATTATTTTGTGAATTTATAAATATAATAATTATTTAGCGCAATAATACCCAACTTTGCCGAGTTCGGTTCGTAACTCGATTCTAGTAATCTAGTTTATTTTAGTTCTCGGGAAAATCGGCATTGACGTATTAATTGTACTACTTTGTTAACCAATTAGACCAAAATGGGTAATCTCACATGTGACGGGTTTGATTTACCACTTGGTATATTTTTGAACGTGATTAAACTTACTAGCTGAACTTTTTGAAATCTCTAAAACTTTTGTCAAAGTCAATTTTCAACAAAAAGTCAGTTTTTGAGTCTATAACTACAAACGTAAGGACAAAAGCATAATGCCTTTTGTAGTTTTGTTGTGAATTTGAATAACAAACAATAAAAAAAATAAAACTTAATTTAATTAAGTATTAAAAATTTTTATTTTAAAATAACCCATATCAACGAGTTATGGGTCATCAGCTATAATATAATATGCGAATTTTCTTTAAAAATCTTATTTGCGTAACTACAATGGTAACCCATATAAATAAACAAAAAAATTATCAATGATCATGAGCCAAAACGAAATTTATGGTAAGCACTAAGCGACCCTATAGCTCCCATAGTTGTAAAAAAAAAGTTTAAAAGACCTCAGATGCTCAAGGAATGTGTTGTTATAACTTTTATTGAAATCAGTCCAGTAGTTACCGAGATTAGCCGTTAAAAACAATTTTGGCATGCTGCTAGATATGAAATTTCCTTTGCAAGGAAAATTGAGGAATCATAGATTCATTGATATGTTTTAGGGTATAGAGCAGTGGAAAAATATCTAGTAGCATGCTACTTGTTATTGTTAAGAATTAATTGAATTAAGAATAGCATTACAATATTATATTATAATCCAATTTTATAACTATTTATAAGTTTGTATATTCCAATAAACAAATCGTTAAGCATAATTAGTTAGACAAATGAGTGTTACTCGATATTTTTCCTCTACAAAATCTTTGAATGATAAATATGTTTTTGTTAACAAGTAGCCATGAGCTTTGTACAAAGTCTGTTACGCAAAGTGACCAGGAAAAATAATTAGTATAGTGGATACATTTAATATATATAATAACATGCTACATTTTGTTTGGAGTTTAATACATTTATAATTATTGATTAATTTTGAATTTACATTTTATTTTTTTTATTTGAATTGAGTTTCTGTGGTGATATACCAAGTGTTACGCAATACAATGTTTAAAAAAAGTGATATCCAACTCAAAGACATTTATCTATGTTGAAACCTAATTTCAAATGTGTATAATATAAATACATACCTATAGATAATATGGATAAATAAGAAATACTGAAAAAATCCTCGAAAGAAAGTATTTTTTATTTTATTTTGTTTCAATAAAATAAAATATTAAGTATCCATGACCTTTTTCATACATTCTATAAAATCGCATTACAACAAAAAAAATGCAAAAAAAAAAACGCTCGTTCGTCTTTAGCTTTAATTCATTCGCTTAAAATACAAAACGATAATTGTATTGGTGGTGTTAACTGACAGTCGAAATTTATATCTGACAGGTGCGAGGTATTCCGGAGCCGAGTGTGAGGTGGTTCAAAGACGGAGAACCTTTGCTGGCGTCAGACAGACACGCTGTCGGGCTCACGGATGCAGGAAAGTGTACGCTGACGATCGCGGATGCAGCGGACGCAGACGCGGGTCGCTACTCTTGCGAAGCCGTCAACGACCAGGGGAGGGTGTGCACGTTGACCGTCGTCCAAGTGATAGCCAACCGCAAGATTGTGGAGGCGGAACGGAGGCTTCAAGGGTGAATACTATTAAATACCTACCTACTCAATATATATCATAATATTATTCAATTTTCCTCTTTCCAACACCCTGAGGTTTTTTTTTTGGCTCTCATCTAGGTCATTCCAAGTACATAATTCAATTCATGAAACAGATAGATATTTCAAAAGTGATACTTTTATTTTGCTTATAAAACATTATTACTATTAGTGTGTATTTCTATAGGAATATTATATGAATGAGTATTTAGTGTAAAATTAGGATTATCTACTAAATAGTTATTCAAATTATTATTTTAAGACACTTTGTTTTCAAAATATTTATTTATAAGTTTGACTAAGAGATGACTCATCATATAATCATCATATTTCTGAAAAACTGAAATATTCTATAAAAACAAAGTAGTTAGGCTATCATATATGGCATGGATATTTCAGGATATATATATATCATTTAATTACTAATTTCTCATTTAAATGCATGCATAATTTAAATTTCGCAGTTATTATAGTTAAATATTTGCTTTCTATATTATACGGGTATGATAAGTAGCCACTAGGCAACTTTTAAAATATTGACAGATATGGTAGCGACTAGTAAATACAGTTAGTTAACTAATTTCCTAAATTACATAAATGTTGGTGCAGTATTTAGTACCTGATAAATCTACCTACTTTAATAATGTACTACCTATCTTCTTCTTCTTCTTCTGGCCTATTAATACGGACCATTGAGGTCCTTTGCCGCTTCCACAATCATTCTCCACTGATCCCTATCCGTTGCCGTGTCGATGCTGAAGGCGTTGTTTATTTTTGACAGGTCTAATATTATATTATCGACTAACCAATTTTAATTTTGATGTAAACGTACAATCAAAAAAAAAAAAAATAATAAATACAGTTTTCAGTTTATTTCTATAATTGCCAGCGTGTTAAATACGTCTTAAAGTATAATAATAGTGTAATAGTCAACCGCATAAGCCCACGATGACTGTATTATGTAAATATTTAAAATAACATCCGTCTATTTATATTGCATTCAGTAAATGGAAATTAAACTGTATTTATACAACACGATTTCATTATTACTTTTTGTTTTTATCAGCCACTGTGTCAAAATTTTTTAATGACAATGAAAGGTATAGATTAGTCAGTCGGATTCAATTTGTTTTTATTAATGGAGCACAGGTGAAATTTTTTCAAACAGTTATTGTTGTAATATAATATAGGTACATCAGTGTTAGTACCTACATTACACGATGACATAATTTGATAAGATATAAAAACAAAACAATGCATGTAGTATACACACTTGAATCACCAAATATTTGTTTGAATTCCATCTGTAAAAGTATTATATATTTTAGTGGGTTATTACTTATGATTATATTTATTTATTACAATAATAAATGAACACGGATTTATAATCAATTGAACCTTTTTTTGAATCCCCGTTGTTTGTGAGATCAATGCGCTGCGACTGAATGCACGAGACTTGAATATATAATATCATTATATTTTTAACGTGCTGAAACGAATAGTTAAAATAGTTTATGTGAAAATCATGTGCCCTTCGAGGTGTCAAAAATATTTTTAATGCGGCAAAAAACATAAAAACGATACTGAGATGATTTGCGAGCAAGGCCGAACGATTGGTTAATTCTTATAATATATTGTAATTATTAAAGTAGGTACATAAATACATAATATGGGTATTATGAATTGCATTCTGCCCGGCTGTATTATATAATGTTTGTACGTGGAATACTTTGGGCACTACAATGCAATTTAATCACAATTATTTGAACATACAAACTGTTTGTAATTAACTAATATTATTCGGTCAAATAATATGTATACTGACCAAGATTTCGCTTCGGCAGGTATCGTCTTTGTTCTCGCGAAACATATTCGGTAATCACTAATTCTATAGACTTTTAGATGTTTCATTCAGTTTTTAAAAATATTGAATTATGTGACGACTTATTATGATCTCCATCTGCTTTGTAGTTGCGTTATTTCGTATTTTCTTATTCGACCGATTAAATTTTCTATTAAATATATTATATTCTTTATAACTGTAAGTAAACAACTGTTATGTACTAATGTTGCTATACTAATGTATGTATATAACGAATATATAGCTGCACCATAGGCGCCCACAAAGGATTATCTAAGTAGGTAGTAGCAAAATACTTTTGATGTAATGAGTGAACATATATTATATTTTAATTCGGAGGTCAATGAGTGCGCCAGGTTTAGAGTTGTTCATCGGTCTAACCAAAAAAAAAAAATCATAATTAACGATAATATTAAAATTATTATAGTAATTATTGATCAGAGCTAGAAAATAAGGTTATAAATTCTAAAACGTACCCTACTTGTTTATTGACACAATATATTTTTGTTTTATACCTTGCTACAATATTTATTGTTGTAGGTGTCTTATGAAAAACAACGACTTCAAAGAATCGGCGCCGGTGTTTACCAAACATCTGATCGACCGCAGAGTGGATATCAACTCGACGGTCCGGTTGTCTTGTCAAGTAAACGGATTGCCTGCACCCTTAGTTCTGTGGTACAAAGATGGTCGGCCAGTAGACTTTGAGAGTACGTACATTTCTCTCTCATATTAATAATTTGTTGATTTTTCACTCAAATGGCGTGCATCGGTAAAAAAAAAACCCAATCGGTCCAAACCATAAATATAAATTCTTGTTTTAGACTATGAGCGGGGTGGTCACTTTATGTAATATCTCACATAGGCCGTGGATAACACACCACCGCTCAAAAATATTATAATTAATTGATGAAAAATGATTTCATCTCATTAAAATTAATATTGTGATCTCCCCCTAATTTTGGAGCTGCTGAATAACACACGACTCTCCTGGGTCTTGTTTTTGTAGGTGTAATGGAGGGTGACAGGAAACCACCTGTCAGAGATGATTCGAACGACTTCTACACGCTGGAGCTGACTGGAGTCAAGTACGACGACAGCGGTGCTTATGCGGCGGTGGCGTCCAACGCAATCGGGAAGGCGTCCACGCGGTGCGTGTTAGAAGTGTTTAACAAGAACCGCACCGATCCAGCGGTACCGACGTTCGTTTTCGGTCTCCCAACGACCAGCGAAGCCGTGGACTCGATCGTTTTGAGCGCACAGATCGACGCTTACCGTCCCGCAAAAGTCGAATGGTGAGCGCCCGTTCTTATACTACAAAAGCTTTTTATGCACCACCATTTAGGTCTAATACAGGAAGCATTTATAGGCTCTTTATACTTTCGATTAAGGCCAAGGCCGTAAATGGAAAAAAATTTCGAGGGGGGTCTAACATTTTATCTAGGTATAGTTTTAGTATAGTTAAACAATATTCACTGCTAAAATGTTTCTACTTTTAAAAATTTCGGGGGGGGTCCGGACCCCTGGACCCCCCCACCAGTTACGGGCTTGATTNCCCCCCCAGTTACGGCCTTGATTAAAGCAATAGCTAGGTACAGCTATAGTTGATGGTCACCGATTATTGGACGACTTACGGTAAGAAAAGAATCGTCTACTAAACTCACTACACCGGTTGATGAAAATACAATATAGTTGGATAAATATCTTGATATTTGTATTGATTTGTATTCGATTGTAAGGTGCAACATTTAGTGAGTTTAACGAAATTCGTAATAATATACAAATAAATAATTATGAATACATGACATACATTCATAATTATTTATCTATATATTATTACAAGTACATGTATAAGTAGATATTACCTAGGTAGCCTATTTTTTCCATTGACTCTGAGAGTCTGAGATTAGTAAATTTTAATATTTATTAATTATTTTAATTTTGTTTATTTTGAATTTTATTTGTATGTATTGTCATTAATTAAATTAGACATATTATAATATATTTTATTCTTGGGTCTTTCGTCTTAGTGGCTTAGTTATTCATTCAGTTAATGAATCCAAATTTCAAAAGCACAAAGTCCAATTTCAGTAACTACCTACTGTAGTCTTTAGTAATTCTGTTATCGAAATATTGAGATTATGTCATTATACACGTTACAGTTAACTAGATTTAAAAATTAAAATTGATAGTCTGCAGGGGATGTAAACTCCACCTCAAGTACCTTTTTTAGTGTAAACTCCACCAGAAAAAAAAACCGGTAAAATTTTGTTCGTGTTAACACCGCCAGTGAAAAAATTCAAGTGAAATTAAGTTCATGTAAACTTTGTCAGTGAAGAAAATCAAGTCACCGAATAAAATTAATATATAGGGCAGATATCATGTATATATTATAATAATATCCCAAAAAATACACACAAATTAATAAAAATAATAATTGTCAGAACAAATCATTCGAATTGTCATGTGTAGGTATTAATGTATTATCATAATAAATAATCGTAATAATTATAAAATATAAATCTAGCAACCTAGGTATATTATTTTATGTTATAATATGTGGAACTGTGAACTAAATTGATGAGATACAATTTGTAGATATTCTGTCATCTCAGTTTAATATAAATCCATTATCATAACTAAATAACTAATTATTATGTTCTCTAACACTATCATTTTGGATTTTTGAGCTTCTTTAGTTGAGATATATTATTAAGTTTTACATATGCACTGGCGAAGTTTCCACATATCCATTATAGGTAAGAAAATAAAAATGGCGGAGTTTACATTAGTTCTTTTCATTACCTTTTTATCTAACCGGCATTCCGGCAGAGTTTACAATCGCTCGACTGGGAGCTTCAAGTTGTATTGAAGTTATTTTTTACACCACAAAAAACTACGACATGCATCGAGACACTTGTAGAACTAAATATTATAAAGTATAAGCATATAAAAATATATAAACCTAGATAGTTATTGAGTTATTTTGTATAATTAACGAACCAATAATTAAACTAGGTATCTTACGTTTAGACATAATTCAAAAAATATGCGTTTGATTCTTATTTACAGGTTCAGAGATGGAATTCAATTAAGAAATGGACGGAGAGTAGACATAATTACTGATCATGACGGAAACCTAGAACTTAGGATAGCTTGTGTCACAGACCGGGATTCGGGCACTTACATGTTAAGAGTGTCTAATGATACAGGTACGATAGAAAGTCGTTGCGATGTCAATGTGGTGGAACGTGAACATAAAGATACGGGGATGGAACAGATTTCTTTGATGAATCATTTGTAAGTAAAATACCTATAATAAAACTTATACACTTAGCAGTGGGTGGGCATTCTCTGAGATACATGGATTATTTCATGTGTGCCCATCATATCACTTAAAATTTTTAAACATCAGTCATTGTATTTTATTTATTCATATATTTTGTACAATACAAATGTTTGGGCCAACTCTTCAAACCTATTTCAAAATACGTGATTTCGTAAAAAAAGTTTGATGATTTAATTTTTAGCAAAATTATATCATTTAATAAAAAAAAATTAATCCCAAACCTATAATTTTTTCTATTTCTATTTCAAATGTTAATCTCATTGGGTGTATCTGATGTTCTTCTTTTTTACAATACTATATACACAAGGTCCCATACCGATATTAATGTTAGTTATCAAATAGATATTCAAAAAAACCAAAGTTCGTTGTAAAACCAAAATTTCAAGAAGTCGAAGAAGGTCAAGAAGTAATCATCGATTCAGAGATCGTGGGTGACCCATTGCCGAAGATCACATGGCTCAGGGACGGGTTAAAGGTAAGATTTATTTTTATAATTTACATTGTTCGTTTACACGTAGTATTAAACTTTTAAGTTTTAAGTTTAATCATTTTAATAGAAAATAATTTAATCAATTTTTTATGATTTATAATATGTATTGTTAAATTTCTGATTTAATGTTCGTATGTCACGTCTATTTGTATATCTTCTATATTTGTAGATAAAAAGTCTCAATGCATATCATTATATTACATTATTTACAGCCATAGGTATTTCGTATGAAATTTAATTATTATTCACTGCATTTTAATTTTTAAGAGTAGAATGTGCAAACTTGCTACAATGACTTGTAAAATTATTGAATCAGTGTTTACATTTATTTATACACGTATGAGTCATCTGATAAATATTATAACGTCTGTTGTTTATGCCTTAATACACCATACAGCAGTGGTCTTCAAACAGTAGGTCGCGTGAGATATAGAATTAGGTCGCGATATACTTTTATAATTTACAATGTTAATAAAAGAATGTAGTTGAACATTTTAAATACACAATAATTGTTTTCAATTTTACAAAGTGAATATAATTAACATTATGTATTTATAATAATTAATTAATTAAAAATAAAACACATAAAAGAGGATTATCAATCAACTTTTTTATTTTAGCCTTATGGATCAGAAATTATAAATAATATTTTATGTAATAATAATTTTAATTCGGGAGACTAATAAGGTGGCCTTCGCCATGTATTAAGTACACTTCACGTGTTAACGTACGCCAAGCAGTTAGGTGTGGGTGAGTAAAAGACTTACTTTATGTATTAATTGATTCGCGAGTTCATTAGGGGAGGTGGCATATGAATTTATTTCTAGCACACATACAGTTTATTCCCGAATTTCAGCCAATTAGCGTTTTCCAGGAGACACCACGGGGAGGTTGGCTGGCTGGCAAGTCTTCAAACCTTTTTTCATTTGTTATTAAATTTGGCCAATCACTGTATTTTAAGTAATTGAGTTATAATAACTATTTAAAAGCAGATCAAACTTTTTTATTTATTTATTAAAGGTCGACAATCATCATGATAATTGGATTTTTTCATAGACTAGGGCAAGACGTATACAAATTTGAAACACGGTACTTTCAAAAATATTGGTATTTCCTAATAGAGTTTCCTTACGAATACTTCTTTTTCTAATTTTCTACTGATATAATTATAATAGGTATGACAAAAAGGAGTATCAACTCACGCTTTATACTACGTCAGATGTCTTTGAAAAAATAAAATAAAATAATGTGTCGTTGCCATATTATATTGTCGCCTCCGCGTCACACACTAGTGTGGACCCCATACGAAAAATTTTGTTAAAAAATCGTTTTTCAACACTGAACCCAGCCCAACACTATCCTCGTGCTTTTAAGAACGCTAAACTCGTTATCGCATGTCTACAGCGAAGAACAGAACGCCAGACCACGAACGAAATATCCTTTTCTGGCAAAACATAAAATAGGCGTGTGTAGGTAAGCCGTCGGCCAACGGCGCGTATAACTTATGTCTCGGTACCTATCGGTATAACTAGGTATATATTATAATAATATGTGCTCGCCAATGATATTATCATATATTTATTATTGTGTGACTTTATGCGGACCGTTAGACAAAGTCATGTTTTCCCGCGGCACCGAAGAGACCCTATAGTGAGCATTGTTGTTTGTCGCCGACGCCGCTACCGTTGTGGCGCGTATTATGGTACCGTGTGAGCCGCGGTCGAGACTTGATATTAGAATAATAATAATAATAATAATAATAATACTTACCTATTACGCGTATCATTAGATTATTGGGAATACATTATACGCTTCGTTCCGATGGCGATTGGCGGCTCTCCGCGGGGAACGCACGAAATCACATATTATGAAAAGGATATGTGCGACTAGCACTGAAAGCCACGTCACCCGTCGTCGTCGCACAATTACCCGGGTAATATATTGTTAATTGGGCCCATATTTGGAACCACAGCTAGATAGTATTATTATTACTATTATTATTATGATAATTATCATTATTGTGAAACCAGATTTCTGACCGTTCGAAAACCGCAGCGCTATCCGGCTGTTGTCCCGCGCATTATTATCCGAGCTACCCGAGGTATCTTAATAATAATAATATATAATATTACCTATTATAATATACAATATATATATATAGACGACATATTATAATAATATTACCATCATCCATTATTTTATACACGCCCGTTGTGGTCGATATATCAAATAGGATATGCCGCTGCCGTCGAGAATAAGGTCTGTCGAAACGAAATGATTTTTACGGTATATAGACATGTACTAGGTAAATGTCGAAAAAGCCGTCAACTGCCGGTGCATGTGCATTTAGGTAAGCCTGCACGTGACATGACTTGAGCGTATAAATATGTTATTATTGTATTATTATACATTTATACCTATCGAGGCGATATCGTGCGCGGAAACGTAAACACAATATTATAACTTCAGATTGAATTCCAGCGACAATAATACGGACGATAAGAGCTCATAATAACATAATATTGTTGTGCAACGCTTATAATATTATAATGCTCAAACTCTGCAGTATACAGTACGTGAATTAATTGGAAAGTAACCACGATGTAGTACGAATATTTTAATGTCGGGTTTTTAATGCGATTTAATATTTATGCGGCCTCCCTTTTACCACGATTTACAAAAAAAAAAAAAAAATGTTAAAGTATGAATGACTTTTCTATATTAATCAATTGTTTATTATATTATTCAACCACCGTATTCACACTGCGGATTAGTACAATCCATAATGTATTATTATCGATAGGTGATTGACGTGATTCTTGTTGAGTCCTGTTAAATCCCTTTCATCACTGCACTGATCTTGACTTTTCGCACAGCTGTAGAGTTTTAATTTTTTTTTTAAGTATCTACTAGAGTCTAGAATTATTTGTTTGGCATATTTATTATACGATATTATTACATGAATACAAATATTCGCCGATCGATTAAATTTAAAATATATAAGATTACTGAATAATTAAAGTAACCATCTTTATCCAATAATACATCAGCTGTAATCAAGGATTGTTCATGCTCAAATCTCATTTTATGAAGAAAATCTCGTTATGGTAAAATAATAATCGAAAAAGCGTCCCGGAAACATGATATATTAAATATTGAATTAAACTTTAGAAGAAATTACATACCTAGGGTATCACCAAGGGCATTTATATTTTATAAGAAAATTCGATCGAATTCACCACGCGGTGGTAGAAACTATTATAGGTACCTATGTGATGTCCTTATAGGGAAAGGAGTCGATGACGATCACACGTCCGTTTGCTTAGAGAACAAAACAAATGTAGACATACCTATAGCTATAATTATATACATTAAAATAATTTTATAATTTTACACTAACGGTTTTAAACCATAGAAAAACAATTATCATTTTTTCACATTTTGAACTATAATTTTTTTTAAGTATTTTGATGTATACCTTCCTAACCTAATACCTATATCTTAATTAAAATTATAACGAGTACCTCCTGAGCTTTTAAATTGTGTGTACTTGGAATAATCACTTTTATTAATGAATTTACTTTTTACCTAAAACATAAATTGCATGTAATATATATGTCTGGTTGACGGTTGCACAAACAATCACTAAACATTTAATGAGTGGGTTGACGGACTTAAACTTGATTTAGAGGTCGATGATAATAGACATTAAATCAATTAATTTTTTATATAACCTGGCATTAATCTAATATCACATACTTGACAATAATGTATTATAATTTGCTATACTCAGAAATCTTTTAAAAATGTATTATAAATTATAATAGATGAATATTAATTATTATAATATTTCAAATCATTATGGTCCCCTTAACTTCTATATCTAGACGTATTATCATTGATTATTAATGCTAGTGTTTACAAACCATGATAGTATAATAGTCTATTATCCTTAGAACATTTAGTTCAATATCTGAGAAATTATTTGTTCGAAATTTGAATTACATTGATCTAAGCCAACCATACATTTCAGAATTTACAGTAAACAAAAATAAAGTTCGCTATTTGTCGTTCAAAAAAATATGTTTGTATCACCACAGAACACCCCTTCAATGGCATAAAAAAGTTTAAGTTTTATATACGAATTATTTTTCTTACACGCGTGTGGTAAATATAGATAAAACTTTTAAAAATCAGTATTTTAACAAATGCATAATTAAAGGGAAAATGATGATGGTCATGTTTAGTGGAGCACCTTGTTAGTATATGTGTAATATACACATTTTATTATTGTATAAGCGTGAGCCAAAAGAAGGCGCCATACGGTCCCTAAACGCCTGAACGGATGCAAAACATACTAATGCAACACTTGTAAATGAGAAACAAAAATTGAACGTCCCGCGATTAAATTATATAAACCAAAACAATACAAGACGTAATAACGACAAAACAATAAAAAAAAATTAATATAATATTGCGTGTGTAGAGCAGCGAATTGATTATTTTTATTGTTTAATATTGTACATAGCTATAATACCTATAGGTACCTAATATATACAAGAGTGCTAGCGCACGTCTTTATAATGTAACAATAAATTAATTGTCGCGTCGTGTCCGTTTCTAAAATCGGCAAACGTGATGAAATTCGTGAATGGTTTATAGGTAGGTACTACAATCCGAGATGTCGTCGACAATAATGATAATAATTACTATTATTATTGTTTTTGATATTTTTTTTTTTTTTTATTGCGATTTACCGCGATTGTTGTGTCCATTGTTCTGCAAGCAGCGACATTCAATATTCGCATTTGAAAAACGAACGAAGAGATCGCGAGTGAATATCGTTTTGATTTGCATGTATACATGTATGCAGGTACAATTATATAATGTATAGGTTTGTGTGTTCACGGGAGAGACTAAATATAATGAAAAGTAAAACAATAGAATTAACACACACGCATTATATCGCGTTCGTCGGCGTCCGC